ACAATTATATTTGTTTTATTCCCAACCTGAGAAAATGATTCCACCTCTTTCTCAAGTTAATTTTAAGTCTCTTAGAGTGCTTCATATTTCCAACAACCTTACCAATTTCATGCATTTTAGATTTCGGAGAATATTTGGATAGCGAGTACAAAGTAAACATGCAAGATAATTTTATGGTCCCATGTCAAAAAAATTGGGTGAGATCCTTTTTCACACCATAGTTCATTAATATAGTTTTTTAATCTTATTTTATAGGCAAATAAGTGTCATACTACATCTAACCGTGCTCATTATTCACACGTGTATGTGAAGTGAACTATCAGATGTAATACAAGTTATACAATACGTTACGTTAATTATGGTTTTTTTTTAATCTTATTTTATTGGATAAACTGCATTTAACCCGTTGACTTGTGGGGTTTGGAATAAATCTTTTTACTAATTTCCTTTTGTTAAAAAAATAATAATAATCTCTCAACTAACGAGGTGGGTTATTTTTTGACTTTTTGCCTAAAACACCCCTACCAAGTCAAGCTCCAGTTTCATGCCATTCATCTAACTACGTGAATATTTGGATAGAGAGTACAAAAGTAATACAAATTATACAATATGTTACATTCATTATGTTTTTTTTTTTAATCTTATTTTATTGGGTAAACTACATTTAACCCCGTTGACTTGTAGGGTTTGCAATAAATCTTTTTACTAATTTCCTTTTGTTAAAAAAAAAAAATTCTCTCAACTAATGAGGTGGGTTATTTTTTAACTTTTTGCCTAAAACACCCCCACCAAGTCAAACTCTGGTTTTATGCAATTCATCTAACTATGTCCCCCTATGAAGCACGGACATGGATATGGGATACGGGTACGACACGACAAATTTTTAAAAAATAGGACACGGACACGGCGGGGATACGCCTATATATATATATATATATATATATAAATTTATATTGAAAATATAATTACTAGAATCTTGTATAGATAAATAAAACAACAATAAAGAACATAATCAATTTCAATAATTTCATCTCTGTTATAAGAAAAAAAAAATAGACAAGACAAAACAGAAAATAAATGAAAAATAAAGTTAATCTAAATTCTAAACGAAGATGTGCAGAAGAGATATAACTATAATGAACTAAATATGTATATGAATAAACATATATACTTTCAGTCTTTCACAAAGTTTTGTTCATGTAACCTAAATATATATATATATGTTGTTTATGAAGAGAGATAATTGAAGAAGAGGAGAGACTCAGAGAGGAGTGAGAGAAAATAAATTTTGTCTCACAGAAGTGTCGGACCGTGTGTCCGAGCCTCGGACACGTGTGTCCAATAAAAAATAATATTTGGACACTTTACAGAAGTGTCGGACATGTGTCCGAGCCTCGGACACGGGTGTCGGTATCCGAAAAGTGTCCGACACTGGTACGGGACCCCTGGAAGGAGTGTCCGTGACCCCCCCCTAATGTGTGAATTTAGTTTTTTCCCTTTTCTTTTTTTTTTTTAATTAAAAAATAATATTTGAACTCATATATTTTTGTTATATGTATTCCTATACTTTTAATTAAAGAAAGATTTTTAAATTTTTGTTATTAAAAAAGTCATTGTAATGACTGCAATTGCATATAAGTTTAAATCTTATATATTATATATACAATTACTGTATTATTTATATTATATTTTTTTATTTTATACAAAACATATGTATATATATACACATATATATATATGAGATGGACATTCGATAAAATAATTAGATGGATAAAATTAAATTTTAATTATAAAAATTAATTTAATGGCATAAAATAATAGACTTTTCTTTCATTTTGTTTGATTGAATAAAATAAAAAAAAAATTATTCAAATTTAAAGGACGTCAGTGTAGTTTTTTTTTAAAAATTTTTTTTAACTTAACTTTTATTCTTTATAATTTTATCATAATAGCAAGAAAATGAAATCTCATATCCTGTGGTCGTGGACTCCCCGTGATTCTCACGGTAGGTTGCTTTCTAAGTCAACAAGTCTTTAATGTCATTTGCTTTTTAAAATTGTTGTGGCCATTAAGTGTCATCACTGGCACTGTGCAATAACTTCTCGCATTGGATTATTGGAAGACTTTAAGTCAAGTCATTAAGCATAACCATCCATGTGGGTCCATTAACACATGGACATCGGACTATTAGCGTGGTCAATTACGAGGTCACATACAAGGCTCGATTGCATATAGTTCGTAGAATAATTTTGGGATCATATAATAATTTTTCATTTAAGTGGATTAAAAGTATTTAATGAATCTTTTGTTCAATGGAAGGTTCTCAGATGGTAATAAGTGGTCCAAAAGTATTCGGTAAAAGTTTCTATTTTGACACCACCAAAATATAGACTATGATGCTATGATTTCGAGCGTCAGGTAAAATATTGTGATGTATTTGTTTTATAATATGCATAATTGATTAAATTTTCATAAGAAACTTTCATCAATTATTCAATATCACCAGTCTTGAAATCAAAATGTAACTTTTTTTATTTATTTATTTTTTGTTTTCAACTCCAAGTGAGTGGTTCAATTAGTAAGTTTTTGGCTCTGAAGTCTCATGAAATATCAGGTCGGCTACGTTCGCATGTAAAAGTTTGAACTTTACTCGACTTGTAGCTTCACTTTAAAATTATGCAATTTAGCTTTAAATTTGTTTGTCGTGATTTTTATAACGACTTGTTAGCATGTAGAGTCAGAAATATTCATATGGAGAAGCCAAATTAACTACTATTATTATTTTTAATTTTTCTTTTCCACTGGCAATATAATTTCTTTAAAATATGGCAATTAATTAAACAACTTAAGGGGCCTTAATTTAAGTGTAAATTAGTTTTGGGAACCAAAATTAGATGCCCCCTTAATTATTTTTTATTTTTCCTAGCAAATTAGGAAGATGAGAGATTTTAACACAAACACACTCGTTTAGGGGACTGAAGCCTCTACCAATTAGCTATTGAGGAATGCCCTATAAGCCCCTTAATTAGTGAACTAAGAACACCTAATTATTTTTTTGTGAAATTGGTGATTGGTAGACATAGTTTTCCAGTTGATTAAAGTTTTGTGGGTGGTTTCAGCATCTTCATTTCCAAATGGGCCTAAATTATACTTCTCTAGTCAATGACATAGAAAGAGAGAGAGAGAGTTATTCTAAGTGGTCCTATTTTCGTTTTGTTTTTATTTTTTATTTCTTATCAAATTCTTAAAATTTTTATTTTCCTTTATGTGCCTGGGACTCCTAGTATTATATATATATATATATATAGATATGTATGTGAGTACCAAATTATTTTACAACTTCAACTCCTTAAAGTTTTCAAAATTGCTAATTAAGTAGTGAAGTTAGTAATGTGTAATTTATAGTTTACAAAAAATTTATCTGAAATAATAATAATAAATAAAGCAAAGAAAGATAATAAGCAAAATGTTATTAAAACAGATTTTTGACTTAAATGATTATAATAAAAAAGTTGAATATAGTTAATTAACTTAATTGTGGTTGCATCCATATATAATTAAGTACTTGATCCATCTTCTATATTATATTTGATATTTTCTTTGTATCTTCCTACTTTTTAAATTTATTTTATTTTATTTTATTCTAATGTTGGTGTTGTAAGTCAAGTCTTCATTCAAAGTCTTTTGATCGTTCTCAGCCTCAAAAACAGGAAAATGACACTACCCAGGCAAGTGGAAAGCATTACTAAAAATCACACTTCCATGTGGTAAAAAGTTGATACTTCCATCTTCATTTCTTGTTTTCAAATATAATTCTGATAAACTTCTCATATGGTGCTACTTAGTTCAGTCTAATAATATCAAGCAACTTCAATATATTTCTCTTTGTTCTTTTTCTAATTTTTACATTTAATGAAATCAAAATCAAAGAAAACTTAGTGGCTATATGTTAACTAATTTTTGTTTTCACCGACAAGTTTATTGACTACATTATCTAATTGGTTTAATTTCAATGGTAATTGCTTGCTAAAATTGATGACTAATGCAATTGATTATGAAAGGTGTTCACAAGCATCTGATAAGTTTTCGAATTTGAGATGTGCATCTACATGTGTCATTGTCACTTTGAAATTGTGCAATAAGCCATTCCACTAGAAAATTCTAAGTCAAGTCAATGAAGTTATTGGACATAGTCATACGGAGAGAAATTAATTATTAGATAGTTTTGGTTCATTTAATATTTTATTGACTAATTTAATAAAACTTAATATTGAGATTTCTTTATAATTTAGTTGTGGTTCTATTTTCATTTTGTTTTTATTTGTTATTTCTTGTTAAATTCTTGATATTTTTATTTTTCTTTATGTATCTAAACTACCAGTTGTATATACGGGGAGAGAGAGAGAGAGAGAGAGTCACACACACACACACACACACACACACTTTGACTACCAAATAATTTTATAGCTTCAACTTCTTAAAGTTTTCAAAATTGCTAATTAAGTACTGAAGTTAGTAATGTGTAATTTACGTGTAATTTACGGTTTACAAAACAACTAAAGCAAAAAAATATAATAAGAAAAAGGTTATACAAACAGATTTTTGACTTAAATGATTATAATAAAAAAGGTTAAATTGCATTCGTATATAATTTAGTATTTAAAGCTAAACATATTATGTCTTTGTATTTTACTATCTTTTTTTATTGTTATTTTATGTTTTTTTTTGAAGCTAACGTTGATGTTGTAATTCAAGTTTTCCAAGACTTGTGATCATTCTCAGCCTCAAACTCAGACAAGTGGAACTTTTAGAAAATAAAAAAATCCATGTTTAATTTCTGTTATTCAAGACTTTGGTTTTGCCATTGGTGTTGACAATGAAATGAGTGAACAGTATCCCAAGTCAAATTGGATGGATCCATTATCGTGGCAGGGAAGTTTGTGGTGGGCAGTTGATCTTCATTTCTACATGGGCCCTACCCATTGGTAAAAGATCCAGAAATGAAGGTATATACAGTGTGTATATATATAATGTCTGAGTTTTCTTTTACATATATGATCAACGAATTTGATATCATAAATTTGTAATCAGATAGAATTGAAGAAGATGATGATGATGATGATGAGTAGCCGCATAGCGCTTGTCACGCTTTGGCTGCTATCATTCTCAACTGCCTTATTATTATTATGTGATGGTACTTCACATGTAGTTTGCAGTGAAAAAGAAAAAACAGCTCTTCTCAATTTCAAACAAGGTATCAGTTGGGATCCTTCCAACAGGCTATCCTCATGGTCCGGACTCCAACAAGATTGTTGTACTTGGACTGGAGTCCGCTGCAACAATGTTACTGGTCGAGTCATCCAGCTTCACCTCTCCAATCCATACAATCACTTTGATGATTATGAATCTTATGAAACGCAATTGTTGGGTGGGAAGATTAGTTCCTCTTTGGTGGAATTAGAATCTCTGATTTACTTGGACTTGAGTATGAACAATTTCAGTGGTTCTACTATTCCAAGTTTCTTTGGTTCTATGCCGAGTTTGAGATATCTCAACCTCTCTTATGCTTATTTTGAGGGATTGATTCCTCATCAACTTGGGAATCTCTCTGGGCTTCGTGTTCTTGATCTAAAAACTGATAATGATCAACTTTATGTTGATGACCTTAGTTGGACTGCTGGTCTTCATTCCTTGGAATACGTTGACATGAGTTGGATCGACCTTGGCAAGGCGGTTGATTGGCATAGACAACTGAGCAACCTTCCTTCCCTTTCAGAACTACGTTTGTCCGGCTGCAATCTCCAAGGGCCGATTTCTCATCAGCTTGCCAATCTATCGAGCCTTCGTCATCTCAATCTAGGATTTAATTTTGTACTTTATGCTGATGATCTTAGTTGGATTGCTCGTCTTCGTTCCTTGGAATACCTTCTAATGAGCGGTGCTGACCTTCACAAGGCAGTCGATTGGCTTCAATCGGTGAGCATGCTTCCTTACCTTTCAGAGCTGCATTTGCCCTCGTGCCAACTTGAGAAAATGATTCCACCTCTTTCTTATGTTAACTTTACGTCTCTTAAATTCATTGAACTTGGTTATAACAATTTGAATTGCAAGATACCGGATTTGTTGTTTAATTTCACTAGTAACCTTCAGTCTCTTGACCTATCCGGCAATTCCCTATATGGTCAAATAGCTAGCATCATTACAGGGGAAATCCCAGACGGGCTTGGGCAATTGAAACATCTTGAATATTTGTCACTTGCGGTGAACTCATTGTATGGTCCCATTCCAGCATCTATTGGAAACTTATCGTCCTTGAGATTCTTAGATCTTTCTGATAATAAATTGAGTGACACTTTTCCAAAGAGTATGGGGTTCCTCTCAAATCTTGAGGAATTATGGGTAGGTTATAATTCCTTAGGAGGCATTGTTTCCGAAGTGAATTTTGCCAAACTCTCAAAATTGAAGATTTTGTATATGTCTTCAAACTCTCTTTTCTTCAACGTGAACTCTAATTGGGTTCCTCCCTTTCAACTCGAGATGCTTAGTATGAGATCCTGCAAAATGGGTCCAAGTTTTCCTTCATGGCTACAAACACAAGTATCTTTGTACTTATTAGACATTTCCCAATCGGGAATTTCAGGTGCAGCTCCAGAATGGTTGTGGAAGTGGGTGTCAGGTATTGATTTTATCCATCTCTCTAACAACCAGATAAATGGAGACATATCGAACGTGTCCCTAAACTCTATTTTTGTTGATATTAGTTCTAATCGTTTTGAGGGTTCATTACCACGTTTGTCTCCAAATGTTAGATATTTGAACCTTGCAAACAATTCTTTCTTTGGACCCATTTCCTCATTCTTGTGCCAAGAGATGAATGGAGAAAGTATGTTGAAGGTTCTGGATGTATCAAATAATATATTATTAGGTGAACTTTCTCATTGCTTGATGCATTGGCAACATCTGACCCATGTGAACGTGGGAAGCAACCACCTATCTGGTAAAATTCCAAATTCATTGGGTTCGCTGAGGTTTCTCGAATCTTTGCAATTGTATGATAATAATTTCTTTGGAGAAATACCTTTATCAATACGAAACTGCACCTATTTGAGACTCATTAATTTAGGTGGAAATAAATTTACCGGATTCATTCCGAGTTGGATTGGAGACATTTTAGACTTGAAGGTTCTCAGCTTAAGATCCAATAAATTTATTAGCAATATACCATCACAAATATGCCAACTTTCTGGGCTTATAATTCTTGATCTTGGGAATAATAGCCTATCAGGACCAATACCAAAATGTTTGAAGAATATTAGTGCGCTGACTATCGCAAATTCTACACATTATGACATATTTGCTGTAAATGTAGAAAGTTTGAATAATATTCAACTTGGAGTCTACATGGATATTCTCTCATTGGTGACAAAAGGGAGAGAATCAGAGTACAAGGAAATCCTTAGACTTGTTACGAGCATAGATCTCTCACATAATAATTTATCTGGTTCAATCCCAGATGATTTTTTTAGTCTTGATGCGTTGCGATTTTTAAACTTGTCTCATAATAAAATTACGGGAAAGATACCGGAGAACATTGGGGGCATGAAACTGTTAGAATCCCTTGATATCTCGAGAAACTATCTTTTGGGTGAAATTCCTCAAAGCATGTCTAATTTGACATTTCTGAGTTACTTGAACTTGTCATACAACTTCTTAAATGGAAGAATTCCTACGGGCACCCAACTTCAGAGTTTTGATGCAACTAGCTACATTGGCAATGCTGAACTTTGTGGAGCCCCTCTGAACAATTGCACAAGAGAAGAAGAATCTCAAGGTCGAGGTGTGAGCTCGATGGAGGAAGAGGAAGAAGAGCATGAAATGGTTTGGTTTTATATTGGTATGGGTCCAGGATTTGTGGTTGGATTTTGGATTGTTTGTGGTACTCTTCTCCTCAAAAGGACATGGAGGCATGCTTATTTTCAGCTTCTTGATGATATGAAAGACCGGATCTATGTGGCTATATTGATAAAGGTGAATTGGTTCCGCAACAAGTTCAAGAGATCTAATGAAACATGAAGAACATGATCTTCTACAAGGTTTTGCTTCCACATTTCTTTCCTTTTAATTTTTTATTTTTTCCTTCTTGTAGTTGCTACTCTGTTCATGCTCTTTATCTATTTACTAATATACTGTACACTTGGTAGTCTATTTTTGTAGTCATGCTAATGTTATATGAATTATCACTTTAAATATATATTAACTTACATTTGCTATGCAAAAACCCATCTAACACAAATAGATGAAAACAACAATAACCAGGAAAAGGAAATAATTTTTTTTTGAAATATCCATTTAAACCAAACCCTCTTTGATTCAGGAAAACCAAAATCATTCTGACTACTGATCAAGCCTTTGGTTTTGAAAAAGAATACCACAGACTTTGGTTTTGAAAAAGTGGACTGGTTTAGTTCTAAGTTCCCTCAGAAAAACTAGGAAGTAATTTTGTTTCAAATGTAAAGATTGTGGTTGAACAAAAATCATATTTTATGTGTGTTGAATTGGACATTTGGTTAAATCTATTTTTTTGCAGATTGCTGATACAATGAATAATTCCCTGCTGGACGTTTTGGATCAACCGGGAGCTAGATTTTGAATGTGGTTGTGGATCTGTTGTTGGTGTGATAATTTGGTTGCTTTGTTGGTTTGTTTGTCTTTCTTCTTTTCTTGACAGCAGGTTTTTTTTCTTCTAATAAGTGGTTTTCTTTTATGGTAATGTAATGAGGAGGGTATGCCTTCCTAACCAATTGTATTGTGTGGCCTGGTTGTGTTATAAAATCTGGTTTGCTTAGGAAAAACAAATGTGTGTGACTTCCAGGTTCAGAAAAGTAGAGTGAGAAGAACAAATGTGTGTAATGTGTGTGTGTGTGATTGTTGAAGAAAGTAGAGTGAGAAGAGGTCCGATTGTGAGAGAGCTCTGGAATTGCAGCCAAGAGTGATGGTGGGAAGTTCCGATTTGCTCCCGAGATGAAGGAACAGGTGAGTGTTTAGGGATTTTTTTTTCTCAGAATTACTGTGTATGGCTTGCTTAATTTATCAAGGACTATGCAGCACCTTCGTTAAGAATTGTGGGGAGGTTTAGACCTAGTTCTATGTACATTTAATAATTTGAAGCTGCTACTTTACGATGGTGATTAATTGCATTTGTAAGTGCAGAAGATCAAGTAAATCATCTCTTTGTTGTAGCTGAAAACGTCATACTCAATAATTAGCAGTGTAAATAACCTTATGTTGTTACAATGCTCCTTTTGAGATGAGGGTTATTATTATTTTTTTTTTCAAATTTTTTTTTTTTTCTGATTGCAAAACCTGGGTAAAGTTTGATTTGTGCACAATAAATTTCTATGCAGATAGATAGACACAAGATTTAGCTATGTGATCGTAGGCAACAAGCAAGTAGACATGAAAAGAATTGGAAGTCATGGTGGTTGTCTCTTCAAAGATCTGAAACAAGCTCTATGTGAACATAGGTGAGTTGCACAATTTTAAACAAAGAAAAAGAAGAGCACACTTAAAAGTCACATTTATGAACAGATTGACCAAGGAAATAATACACAGTAATCTATACGCATTCATGCATGAGTTCAACAAAAAATATAAGGGTCATGCCAACATGTCTCTCAATGCTTACCACCATAGTTACTAAAACCACCTATTACATATGAATAAATGAAAATATATAACTGTAACTACCTCTAAGTATTTCATTTTCCACTCCAAAATAAAAAAATCTATTTTAAATCATTTGACCCAAAACTTGTATTTTCGATTTCTATTTACCTAGAATTTAATGAACTGTATAATTCTACATATTTTACTAAAAGATTACATATATACTTAAGATATGGAATAGGAGATCTATTTTCTTGCTTAGAAAAAAATATGATATTTGCAAAAATAAAAACTCAACTCTTCTAAAACCATTTTTTTTTTTTTTTTTGGAAAGGTAAATGTTAATTGCATTAGAGTAACTGTGTAAGGCCCCAAACTCCGGCCCATGTGAGGAATGATGACGCATATACAAGGCACAATTTTTTAGCTATTTTGTGTAAATAATGAAAGAACCTAGTGATGTGTCTACGAAGATCCTGTATCTCTATTTTGTAAATCCCAAACAACGTACTAAATTCAATCAATGTCTGGCTTTTAAGGTTCACCATACTTGGATTTGGATGCACTTCTCTAGCTTTGTCTGATAGGCTGAAAGAACGTATTACCTCCCTTGCCAAACAAACTAATAATATATAAAATCTAGCTTGAGAACTAAAAAAATCACTCATATAAGCAAACGAAGAAGACACCAGGTTTGTCAATCTAACTTGAGAACTAAAAAAATCACTCATATAAGCACAATTCGAAACAATCTCCTCTAGGATAAAGTGTCTTACCAGTATTCTGATAATCCTAAGCTTGTTTCGTATTGCCTTGGTAATAGCTTGTCTTGTCCACCACTTAACAATGTTCACAGATTATACTCCCGCTTTGGATTGAATATATCTGTCGATGCTTCCTTCCTGCAACGTGGGAAGAACGAAATTCAAGTCTTCATATATTGCAAGACAGAAAAATGTAAAAAAGTATAGTGACCTGAACAGATTTTGCAACCTTAATCCTTTGCATTGACGTAGTTCAAAGGATTATGGAAAAAAAAACAAGGAGGTTCAAGGATTACAGGAAAATAGCTCATATCCCCAAAGTTTACATTGAAGTTCCAAGAAGTCGTTTTCTGTATAGGTTGAGCAACTATGAGAAAGAGGAAAGACGAAGAAAAGTGTCCTGACCAGGTTTGAATCATCTTTACTTTTCTGTTCTTTTTCTTAACTGATTTGCTTTTACCTTTTTCTGTTATCCTTTTGAATAATTAATTTGCTGTTTAGCATAGAACACATGCCGGGAAATTAGAGAACAGTGAATATTAATGATTGCATTAATTCTAATTTAGGATAAACAAATATTCAGAAATGCTTATTTAAGTCTAACAAACACCCTATTAAACATTTTGAAACTGATTCCGATCTCTCAAGATTTATTATGATATGTGAAACATCTGAGTCTAACAAACACCCTTTAAAAGACACTGAAACCAAATCTAATCTCAAGATTTGTTACGATATATGAGAAGTTGAGAACTATCTTTTGTATGGGATTGCTTGTTAAATGGCAAGTGCATAATCTTCGAAATTATTCTGTGTCGTAATCTGCTTTTCCTAGTACATAATGACAGCAGGCACAGTCTATACTCTATAGACCTTGTTGCATCATCACAGGCAAAGTTGTCATAACCTAATGCATACCATGAAAACTGGACTAAATATTGTTTTAAGGATGGTCGTTTCGTCCCTGCCTTGAATATCCTGATTTTTTTCTCTCTTATACATTTTGCATAATTTTTTCCAACAACTGAAGAGAACGACAGTTCATTTTCATTGTTATTAAATTATTATGTTACCATGGTTGGAAAAGTGTAACAAGTTCACAACCTGGTCCATAGAAGTGAAAAAAAAAAAATGTCTCACCTTTTTGCCATTAACTAAACACAAACAGCAAGAAGAAGAAGGCGTAACGACCCGAACCCGAGGTCCGAACCGTTAGCCGGGTCCTTACTCGAACCCGAGGTCATCTATGTCAAACCCATAATTTCTAATGTCAAAACATCACCCTTAAGGTCATGGTTAAGCTTTACGACTGCTCATTTCAATTTTCCAAGACTCCGGATAGATTACTTTGAAGAAAGGAACAAAAAGAGCAAAACAGATGCACTTCGGTTGACCGAAGTGGAGCTTCGGTCGGCCGAAGCAACTTCCGGACCGGTTGACCGAAACAGACATTTCGGTCTACCGAAATGGGACTTCAGCCGCTCCTAAAGTCTTTGGACGAACCAGTCGACCGAAGCAGGCATTTCAGTCGACCGAAATGGCTCTGCGCGCCCCACCTGCTACTGGAAAATGCTGAAATGGACTAATGATGTAGGGACCCTTTTTAAAATGCTCTAGACTTGATCTCAAAACATTTCAAGTGCTAAAACCATATACTATTGTCATGAACATCAACATTCTAACAAGACACAACATCATTAAAGTGCTTTTAAATAAGGATTCATCATAGTCATTTCTTTTTAATTTAGTTTACATCAAAATGGTGCTAAAGCACATAGTTGAAGCACTAGGCCATGATAGCAAGTTTAATTACATCCCAAAATATGCTTTTACAAAAGAATAGCTCTAAGATACAAAAGTTAACAAAATGGACTTCTAGCACCCTCAAGCTTACGGTGGATTATTATCCGCCACTTCCTCCCCATGACCTGAAAAATGTTAAATATGAAGGGGTGAGCAAATTGCTCAGTAGGTGGTGCCTAAGACACACCTCTTGTAACCCCGTGAATCCAAATAATGAATAGGAATAGAGGATAGAGGTCATACTACGCCGAGAAAGAATACAACATCAATTCCAAATTCAAAGTGAACAATGATGTGCCATGAAATGCAATGCTATGTATGTCTGTTAGCATTTATGATACCACGATTTATGGTATAACTTACCATAATAGCCAAGATATGATAGGCCCAAATCATAGGATGTGATTTACCATATTATCTGTGAGATATGATAGCCACAAATCATGTATTTGACTTTATTTACGCATATGTCTAGGCATAGAATATGCAATGATTTGATTTAGTTTCCTTTCTTGTAATATGAGCGTGTGCTCATTTTATCTATAACTACTAGAGCTGTGAATGGGTAATTTATCTCATTCAAGCCTTTACGCAATTCTCTCTTTTCTCTTCTTTTTATATATTTCTACTTGGTATCAGAGCCAACACCTTTCCACACCTTTCAGCAGCCTTGCTACTTGTGCGACAGCTACCTTAGGCTGTTTGTGACATCGTGTGACGTTGCCTACACATGTTTTTCTGTGTTGCTATTTTGTGAACGAAAACAGGTATTTTTAAGTTTTACAATTTCTTTTTCACTCTTCTAGGATTGGGTAAATTGGGATAGTTGGTTTCCAACACCTAGAAGGGCTTGGGTAAAAAAAATATAGTTTACAAAGAGGCTCCGAATATTAAAAAGGAGGCTGTTTGGCTATATGTAAGCGGGCAGCGCTCCTTAAAAAAGGTATGTATTTGGATTTTTCGGGAATGGTTTGAGGAGACATTGTTTATGGTCTGAGGAGACCCTTTGATTTATTAACAGAATTTGTGGTGTTTTTGGAGTTCTTTTTATTGTCGTGTGACATATTATGGCAGATTCAGGGTCCTCGACTGTTAATTCTCTTGGTTCATGTTCTGTGGGTGGTGGTGCCATTTTTCCCACCAACTCATCAAAAATCCAGGACTTCAAATCACCACAGTGAAGTTGGATGGTTCCAACTATTTGATTTGGGCACAGTCTGCCAAGATGTTCATTGGTGGCAAAGGCAAGATTGGCTATATTACTGGTTCTGAGAAAGAGCCAGCTGAGTCAGAGAATGCATATCCACAGTGGTTTGCAGATAACGCTATGGTTATGTCTTGGCTAGTCAATTCGATGCAACCAAACATAGCTGTTGGCTATATGTTTATGAAGACTGCTAAGCAGATTTGGGATTCAGTTCAATGCACTTATTCTCAGAGGCAGAATAATGCACGAATTTTCCAGCTGGGGCGAGATATCACCAGGATTTCTCAGGGTGACTTGACAGTTTCAGGTTACATCGCCAAGCTTCGTGCTATTTGGGAGGAGATGTCATATTATGATTCCTTCCACTCTTAGAAGGATCCAGATGATGCAGTTTTATAGGCAGGAATTGTGGAGAAGAATCGAGTGTTTCAGTTTCTTGCCGAGTTGAACGACGAGTTTGAGTATGCTCGTGTTCATTTATTGGGCTTATCTTCATTCCCGACTCTTGGGGATGCATATTCCTATGTGTTGTCAGATGAGAGCCGCCGGACTCATCCATTAGGAGTTGCTTCTGTTGATCGTTCTGCTATGGCAGTTCGGATTCCCAACCTTTCAGGAACTTCACCATCCCGGTCAGTTCAAAGCACTACCACAGGTCCTCCTCTGGGACCACAACGTGGACGGTGTGACCATTGCGAAAAAATTAGTCACATCAAATCTCGTTGTTATGCTCTACATGGACGTCCACCGTAACAAAAACAACAGCCTCGATCCTCTGCATATTCTGTTACACAACCAGTCTCGCTCTACATCTTCTGCCACAGTTACCTTGACTCAAGCTGATTTGGACAAGTTCAAGCAATTCTTCAACCAAATGGAGGCATCATCTCAGCTAACCTCCACTTATGCCCACTCAGGTACTATTGCGTCTGCACATAGTGTATCTACATCTTCAACACCATGGATCATTGATTCTGGTGCTTCAGACAATATGACTGGTATGTCCTCACTCTTCCAATTTTATAGTATCTGCTCTGGCCAACGCTAGGTCCGCCTTGCGGATGGCTCTCCATCTTCCATTGCTGGGAAGGGTCATATATCAGTTACTCCTTCATTAACTTTGTCAAATACACTTCATGTTCCAAAGTTGACTACAAATCTTATTTCTGTTAGTAGCGTTACCAAACAATTAAATTGTAGTGTAACGTTCTTTCCCTCATTGTATTTTTCAAGATTTGGTGTCGAAACGGACGATTGGCACTGGGCGTGAAGTGGATGGTTTATACCTGTTGGATGCTCCTTTGTCATCGCAAGCACATTCAGCTTCATTTTCTAATACTGTTTCATCTAATAAAACCCAGCTTATGCGTTGGCACATGCGTTTAGGACATATTTCTTTTGGTTATTTGAAACATTTATTTCCTTCCTTATTTTGTAACGTGGCAGTGTCAGATTTATCCTGTGAAACATGTCATATGGCTAAACATGTTCGTTCCAATTATCCTGCTAGTAGGAATAAATCTGCTTTAACACCTTTTGATCTTGTTCATTCAGATGTGTGGGGTCCTTGCCCAGTTACTTCTAGTCTTGTATTTCGATATTTCGTGTTGTTCATTGATGATCACAGTCGTGTTACTTGGGTTTATCTTATGAAAACCAAAAATGAGGTATACACCATTTTTAAAAATTTTATGACAATGGTTCAGACTCAATTTGGTTGTACCATTAAAAAATTCCAATCTGACCAGGGTACAAAGTACACTTATGGGGAGGTACAACGGTTATGTACAGAATTTGGGATTGCGCATCAGCTGGCTAATGTTAAAACTCCTCAACAGAATGGTCGTTCTGAGAGAAAGAATCGCCACATCCTTGACTTAGCCAGAGCAATCTGCATTGGCATGAATGTTCCCCAGTCCTTTTGGGGAGATGCAGTTCTTACCGCTGTTTACATCATTAATAGGACTCCTTCTAGGATTCTTAACTTTGCAGCCCCACTCTCAATCTTACATCCCAATTGATCTCTATTTTTTATTCCTCCACGAGTCTTCGGGTGTGTGTGCTTTGTTCAGCAGTAGGGGCAAACTCGTACAAAGCTTGACCCCAAGGCTTTGAAATGTGTGTTTTTGGGCTATTCTTACTCTAAAAAAGGTTATAGGTGTTACCATCCTCCCAGTCGTCGGCGGTTTATATCCATGGATGTTTCTCTCTTTGAGCATGCACCATACTATAGTGGTTCAGTTGGTTCTCAGAGTGAATGGTTCCCATTGAATATAATGGATGATCACCTTCTTCCGTCTTCAACTCCTCTACCATTACCTGTTTCTTCTTCTATAATTCCTCCTCGTGATACCCCTCCAGTAGGGGGAATTGTTCCAATTTCATAGGTTTATAATCGGAGACAACAGGTACAAGCTTCTACTCCCACGATCGACTGCCCTATTCCTTCGGCACCAGCTCCGCCTTCTCAAGCTATTGTTTCGCTTGATGATCGCCCATTGTTCTTCGAAAGGAAAAACGTTCTTGTACTTACCCTATTTCTAATTTTGTTTCTGATTATGCTCTCTCACCCTCCTATCGGAGTTTTCTTGTTTCTATTGCCTCGGTTCCTGTTCCTTCCAGTGTTGCAGATGCGCTAGCACAACCTCAATGGCATGATGCTATGACAGAAGAACTACAAGCGCTTGAGAAAAATCAGACTTAGGACATGGTTCCGCTTCCTATTGGACGAAAGGCTGTGGGTTGTCGTTGGGTGTTTACAGTCAAGTATAATCCAGATGGGTCAGTTGCTCGTTACAAGGCCTGATTGGTTGCCAAGGGTTATGCTCAGTCTTATGGCATAGATTATCAAGAGACTTTTGCCCCTGTTGCCAAGATGAATACTATCCGTGTATTATTTTCCATTACTGCAATTCGATCTTGGCCTCTATTTCAGTTAGATGTCAAGAATGCCTTTCTTAATGGTGATTTGCAGGAGGAGGTGTACATGGTTCCTCCTCCGGGGGGCTTTCGTTCTCCTGCTCATTTTGGTATGGTATGTCATCTTCGTCGTTCTCTATATGGCCTCAAGCAGTCTCCTTGAGCTTGGTCTGATCGCTTTGGCACTGTTATGCTCAAGTTTGGTTTCCATCAAAGTGCAGCTAATCATACCTTGTTTTTACGTCATTCAGGCGGTAAGACAGTTGTTCTCATTGTGTATGTCGATGATATTATTCTTACCGGCGATGATACTACCGGAATTAATGAGGTTAAGAGCTATCTTGGCCGTCAGTTTGAGATTAAGGATCTTGGTCCCCTACGATACTTCTTGGGCATTGAGGTGGCTCGCTCCAAGACTTGCATTTTCATCTCTCAACGCAAGTATGTTCTTGACTTGCTTTCTGCTTCTGGTCAGCTTGGCGCTCGTCCTGCTGATACTCCAATTGAGCAGAATCATCGGTTGGCTGATTCTGAGGGGGAGTTGTTGTCAGATATTGGTCAAAATCAACAACTTGTGGGGAAGCTCATCTATTTATCCATAACTCGACCTGACATTGCTTATGCCGTGAGTGTCATGAGTCAATTCATACACTCTCCTCGTGCCCCACACCTTGATGCAGCTATTCGGATTCTTCACTACTTAAAAGGGTGTCCAGGCCATAGTATTTTGTTTGCTAATCATGGTCACTTAACGTGTTGAGGCTTAGACAGATGCTGATTATGCAGGATCAATTTCAGATAGGAGGTCTACTTCAGGTTATTGTACCACTATTGGTGGTACCTTGGTTACTTGGCGCAGTAAGAAGCAGAATGTTGTCTCTCGATCTAGTGCAGAAGCAGAGTATAGGGCTATGGCTCTTGGGGTAGGTGAGTTGCTTTGGCTGAAAACCTTGATGACAGGTTTGTGCCTTCCAGTGTCGCTTCCATTCTCACTCAACTGCGACAACAAGTCTGCTATTAGCATAGCAGCAAATCTCGGGTCAAATTTGCACTCCATTTGTCACAAGCTCTCAGCAGCTTGCAGACATTCTTACAAAGGGCGTTAGCAAGATTGTGTTTGAGAATGCATTGTCCAAGTTGGGCGTTTCAGATATCCACGCACTAACTTGAGGGGGAGTGTTAGCATTTATGATATCATGATTTATGGTATAACTTACCATAATAGCCGAGATATGATAGGCCCAAATCATGGGATGTGATTTACCATATTATTTGTGAGATATGATGACCACAAATCATGTATTTGACTTTATTTACGCATATGTCTAGGCATAGAATATGCAATGATTTGATTTAGTTTCCTTTCTTGTAATATGAACATGTGCTTATTTTATCTATAAATACTAGAGCTGTGAATGGGTAATTTATCTCATTCAAGCCTTTACGCAATTCGCTCTTTTAAAAAATCATAACCCGTCCGTTAATATAACCCCATTTCTACTATATCGCTCCCCATTTAAAAAAAAAAAACCATCCTTCACTTTTCAAACTGTTAATATAACCCGTCCGTTGGTGACTCCGCAGCGACACGAGAGAAGGATTGAATACTGTTCCCGACCCTTGGTACCTCCGCGACATCATTTGGGGCCGAGATAGCTCAACCACGCTAGGGTACTCTTCCTAGTTCCCTCTAGGCTATATTAACGCCACGGCCCTTTGGTGACTTCGCGGCGACCGGGTTTTCATAAAAACATTTTAATCAAAACTTCTTCCCAAAAATTCCCCTTTTTCATTTCCAACAAACCATTCCCATTTTTCCTCCCAACACTCATGCATGGACATGTCATGCTATACATATGTATTCATCATTCTTCAACTTAAACTACACAAGAAAATTTCACATGTTCTCACGTAACATTTCTAGCAAATTAACAACAAAATGAGCATAGAAAATTAACACTTAAACATGCTTTCCATCCAAATAAAGTAATACACATAATTACATGCTTCATATACATATTTAAGCCATTTTAAAACAAAATCAACACAATCTAGCATATCAACGACAAATAGCAAGAATTTAACTCACATAAGCACAAGAATGCATGGATTAGAAACCCCTACCTCAAGGAGGATGAAAAAACTCCCAAAATGGGTCCCAAAACCGGAATCCCTAGAGTGCACTAAAACTGAAATTGCTTATATAGATGTGAAGATCTCGCCGTGCTCTCCGCTACGCCGCAAACAGCTTCCAAAAATTCCAAGTAATGAAGGAGGAATCAAGACTTGAAGTTTGCTTCCAAAATGAAAAAGAAAAAGTGAAGAACTAGAGGAGGAGAGAGTGAGTTACGGGGAGAGAGAGAGTGAGAGACCAAATGTGGTCTCTAGGCCACTAAGTATGTGAGTGGTGGGTCCCACCACCAACATTTTAAATTTTTGACTTTTCTTTTTCCACCACACATGTAAATATACAACAATTATACACATATCACATAAAACACATGATGCACATAAAATAAAATATATGATATGCAAATGGACCTAACTAAAATCCCCGTACGCGACAATACCGGTAGCAGGTCCCAGACGGGACCGTCCGGCCAGAAAAAGGGAAAAATGCCGAAACGGCAACCCTTACATTTCAAAGAGCTCTGAACTCAATGAAATGCCCCAAACAACTCTCTGACACATCCGACACACTCCGCAGTGTCCGGTACGCAAGATGTGAAAAGACAAAAATGCCCTTGCAACGACAAAATTCCCAGAAAAATGAAAAATGGAGAAAGTTGGAAACGTTACAGAAGGCGACCGTAAAAGTAATCCAATTATGTGCTCCTCAAGCTGCCTGAAAACACATGCACAAATTGAACATGTGACATATCCCAAGAAGGTCAAAAGGAAAAGGAAAAAAAAAAAAAAAAAAGATCATGGTAAAGGAAAATTTCAAAAGTATGATCTCCTTTCTAACTCTACATCCATGGTAGTTGCACAAGCAAACATATATATATATATATAGTTTTACTCAAAAATGCATCATAAAGAGTATAAAATCTAAAAAAAGAAATACAAGAGAGGCCAATTATTAATTGGTAGTTGCAATTCGTAGAATGAACCGTGATCTTGTTTACTTGAGGAGTTGAAATAATGATTTGTAAAAAATTATGACAATGAACAAGAAGATAGAAGAATAAAATGGAGTTCTATGGTAATAAAAAAATTAAGATGAGAAAGGATTTACCTTGGATGCTAATCTTATTGTTTAATATAAACATATGGGATGTGAGCAATCCTTGGCTAATCTTCCCCTATTTCTCTCTGGCATCTATCATATAAAACGTCATCACAAAATGTAATTCTCAGTTCTTGTAATGCAGCAAGCCAACGCATTCCTTCGGGCAGTGATGTCAATTTGGGGCAGTGGCGAATGGAATGTTATTCCAGTGATGTGAGGTTGCCAATCCAGTTCGGCAGAGTAACTAGATCCTCAATTGAACCTAAAGTCAGAGACTTTAATTTGGAAAGATGAAGAAACGAAGAAGATGAATAGGACGAGGACGACGTAGACATTGTTGGGGTGTGGGACACTATCATCATCATTAACTCTTGTTCAACTAGCTCCTTGCTGACCTTATTGAGTTGTAGTTGTTCAAGACATGGAATAGGCATTGATGCCAAGTTAGGGCAATATTCAATGGTTAATTTAGAAAGAGAAGGAAACGATGGGAGCCAATAATGTTGTTGTTGATGCTGCTGCTGGTCTCGTAAAGTTGCCGTTGCTGTTGCTTCTGCTTCTACGGATTCGCTTCTACACCATCCTTTCAAATCAGGCAACCAAGAGAGTTCAAGTTCTTTGAGGGATGGAAATAATGTTGGTGTTGGTTCTGATCTTGTTCTTGTTGCCGCTCCTCCTCCTCCACTGGATGAAGATGGAGAAGAGGGTAAAGACTGCTCACTACCACTGCCACTGCCACTACTACTGTTGTCTATGTACTCCAGGGAATCCATAAAAGAAAGAGTCAAATATTGGAGAGAAGGAAGTTTCCCAAATGGTGGAAGATGTTTGAATCTGTGACAGCCATACATATAAATTGTGACTATATTTGGGAGGGATAAGCCAATTTGGTCAACCATTATCCAACTCGGGAAACTCACTCCCCTGTAATACCCTATTTTTCAACTCCTTCAGATTCGGATGTGGACGTAGGGAATCCAACGATGACTCTTCCCCATAATATAATAACAGCGATTTAAGGTATTCGTATTCTTTCCCTTCCAAGTAGTTTGTTTTCTTGATCATTTCTGCTGCTGCTGTTGCATTTTCAACACACTGACTACTTGAGTCCCGATGTGGGCGTACAATTTTTAACGTTCCCCGTAGATTGTTTAGGCTCCCCAATTCATTCAAGCCGTTGCTATTTGAGTCCACTACAAACCTTGTTAATGTTAGAAGAGATGTCAATTGCCCCAATCCATGCGGCATGCCAGTCAAGGCATCGCACTCATCAAGCTCAAGATGCCTGAGGCTGACCAATTTTTGAAAATCTCTTGGCTTCTACAAGTGTGTAACACTTATTGAGTTTTAGAGCCTGCAAATTTTGCAACTTGGTTATGGAATTTGAGAGAGTTGTGATAACATTACCACTGAGATCAAGATACCTTAAATGTTTCAGCTTGCTTATGTAACTCGGCACTGTCTTGATGTTCAACTTGGATAGATCCAACACGCGTAAACATTTATAAGTAGAAACAATCCTTTCAAAAACTGTTTCTTATAAATCTTAATTCTTCAAAATAAATGTGCGTAACTTGTTGGCTCTCATCATGTGGGTTGGAATTTCAAATAATGAATTTACACGATAAACAAATGACATATGACGACTTCTTTCAGTAACATTTTCTGCACCTGAATTCAAAGTGGAGTTCTCAAGCCTTGTCACCGATTGTGCAAGGTCGTGGACAAGATCGTGCATTTTACAACTTATTATGTCACCCCATTTATCTCTTCCAACGTCTTGAAAAAGGGACCGCCTCAGTAAATTCATAAAATACAGTTCCCCTACATCTTCCAGTTGTTGATTTTCATATCCTAACTGAATGAATCCATTTGCAACCCACAATTTGATTAATTCTCGCTTACTAATCTTTTCATCTTTCAAATATAGGGAACAAAATGCAAAACATCTCTTTAGATTCGAAGGAAGGTGATCATAACTCAACTTTAGTATTGGCAAAATAACATCCTCTTCTTGAGCTATTTTCAACAAATCATTGTTTTTGAAAAGCAACCATTCAGCATCTGTATCTTTAGAGTATAATAGGCTTCCTATAGCTTTTATGGCAAGAGGAACTCCCTTACATTTCTTTACAATTTCCTTCCCCATTATTACTCGACATGGATTCTCCGACTCTTCCCCTTGTTTGAATGCCAATTGCTTAAAAAAAGACCATGACTCCATCTCAGACAAGCCTTCTAAAATATACGATGAATTTGCCCTTGTAACATTTGCAACTAATTCAGTACGGGTTGTTACTAAAATCTTACTTCCCATTGAACCACCCATCAATATATCCCTCAGTTTCAACCAATTGTAATGATTCTCATTCCACACATCATCTAACACAAGTAAATATTTTTTCCCATCAATTTTTTCCCTCAAGCGAATTTGCACATCTTCAAACGTGAGGCCTTTACAAGCTTCAATACCCATGATTTTTAGTGCAATGAGTTTCACATCAAAGGGGTCGGAAACACATACCCACATCTTAAGTTCAAAATATTTAGTGACCTCTTCATCATTGTATATTAGTTGTGCAAGTGTGGTCTTTCCTAGTCCCCCCAATCCCAACTATTGCAACAACCGACACACTTTATTGAATGTTATTGTCCAATAACATTTCTACGATACTTTTATCACCATCCCTCCCGAAAACACTTTCTACAAGAACAAAAGAGTGAGTCTCCTCCCTCTTTGTATTCTCAACACGCAACTCTATAGGCTGTTCAATGAGGTGAAATTTTTTCCTATTTTTGGCAATTGTCGCTAGTCTCTTTCCAATGACCTTAATATCATGAGCCATCCAACTACTGAAAGCATATCTTTAGCCTTTTGTTCTGAGTCATATCTTGGCACCGAAGAACTTCAGTAGGGAAGTCATCGAGCAAGTCATCAGCATCATAAAATGCATCATTGAGCTTTTCAAGCCAGTCTGCAACTTCACAGGTTGTGGCTTGCTGCTCCTCTGCATCAACAAGTGCTGCTCTGATCGTAGAAACCGTGTTTTCAAGTTTGTGAAGCTCACCCTTTACACCCCACGCCAGTCCGATCTCTTGGAGAACCGCTGAACCCAACTTCTTGATAATTTCAGTTACAGTGTTGTACAGAATTGTTCTAGCCATTTCTTCTTGTTGAGATGGATGGTTTATAGATTCTCTGTGGAGCTGCTGAACAAGTTATCCTCAATGTTTTATAATTGAGTGATGGAAGAAAAGTCTACCAATACAATTCATAAAAAAGAGAATGGTGGAAGTGAAGAACCATGTGGACCTCTCCAAATATTTTGAATGCTGGTATGCTCAAGTGGTCCTCATCACTGATTGCTAGAAAACAAAATGTAGAGAAAAGTCTCCATAATTGAACCCTAGTCTCCATAGTTGATTGGACAAAAGCAGAACAATGACAGCCTTCTGGACTGATTTGTGGACTTGGTTGACGAGGAATCAACTAGATTTAAATCCTATGCTGGCCAACCATATATTTGAAATAGCAATATATATACACACACATACATGTAAGCATGTGTGTGTGTAATTGATTGTGAGATATATATATATATATTGAGGAGATTGTAAAAATATTTATTTTGTAATTGGCTAATTTCGTTGTCAAAACAAGTCCTATCGAGTTGTAATTTTTCAGTTCAAAAATTCAAGATTGAAGATCGGATGCGGATTTGAAGAAGTTCAAGTGTTCATGTTTTAATACACTCCGGGATGATGAGAACAAGGCTTTAGGAAGTTTTGTGAGTGTGTGAGAACACTTAGGAAGTTTTGAAAGTTTTTAGGGAGAAATTACATTCTGCCTAACTTGAACTAGTTCAAGAATTTTTCGAACAGGTTTAACATCTGAGGGTTCTGTGAAAAATTCAAGACTGGCCAACTTGAACCGGTTCAAGAATCAAAAGGGTTCTTCGAATTATGCACTAGCCATCTTGAACCGGTTCAAAGAATCCTGAACCGGCACAAGACTGGCCATCTTGAACCGGTTCAGCCTTTCTTGAACCGGTTCAAGAATCAAAAGGGTTCTTCGAATTGTGCACTGGCCATCTTGAACCGGTTCAAAGATTCTTTGAACCAGTTCAAGACTTCTAATCAGGTTTGGTAACTTCAGTTTCCTGATCTGTTTTGATTCCTTTTTGGTCCAAATTTCCTTCTAAAACCTATACACGAATTTCACTTGTTTTACAAGTATTCTTAGGTCTTCCAAACTTTTATATAATGCCTCTTTCATTCATTATTGAGGTATGGCTTTAAGGAACAAAAATTCATTATTTTGATAAAGCCTTTAGAGAGAGATTTTTCAGAAAATCAAATTTGATTTTTTTGATTTTATTTTTTAGAGCACACACATATATTCATGAGTAACTTAGTAGTGTTGTTCTCTATCTTATCAAAATTGGAACTTAATTAAAGATTCAAATATTCCAAAAGAACAGATTTATTTCTTTTACATCAAAGTTCAAATCTTGAAGAAAAGGGGTGAAACGATCACACTTTGAAAGGGTCAAAGCATTCGAGGAGTGTTGTTTGATCTACCAACAATCCTTCTACAGAGATCAAGAGTAAGCCTGAGGTCAAGAGCTGTTGGACGAGACCTTGCAAAGCCAGAAGATTGTCAGCGATTGGTGTTTGGTAGAACAATAGGGTGTGAGTCTGAGTCAAAGTCCATTGTACTTTGTTTCAAACATAGTGGATTGGTTTACTTTGGACTGCACAGTCGAGGTTTTTCCCACAACAATTGGTCTATTCTACCAATTGGGTTTCCTCGCTAAAAATCCTGGTGCCATCTCTCTAACTCTACTTGCTTTACTTTTCAGTATTTATCTTTGTGATTATGGATGTTTAATTGATCATATTGCTTAGGTAATTTAATCAATCACAACAATTGGGCAAGTTGACCTAATAATCTCATCTAGGTCATTAAAGAAGTTAATAACAATTAAATCAACTAACAGCTTCCGCACCGCGTAACCTCACATTTAGAATCAAAGCGGGTTACTCGATATATTGAGTAGATCATATTTGTTGATTTGTTGTAATTTTTGCATCATGTATGAAAATATATCTTCTGTTGATATGTTGCATTTACCTTCCTTTTTTTATTCTGTCACAAGCATGCAAATTGAGTGGTCTAAGTTTAAAAAGGATTTTGAAAATTTGTTAGAGAAATTGAATCTTGCAAAACTTGATAGAGATATTTATAAGTCAGAAGTTTCTGTCTCTAATAAAAATTTGGAAGAACTTGGCCATAAAAATTTGAATCTTCTTCATAAGGTTGATTTTCTGGAAAAGGAACTTGAACAGGTAAAAATGTTTAATAAATCACTTGGACTTAAAATTGATAATTTAAGTACTGAGTTTGTTAAATCAAAACAGTCTTCTCAGAAATTTAACACTGACACTTGCTAAATTGATAAGTCGAACGATTCTTGTTGCTTCCCCAATTGTTGTTCTTTTATCCATTTTGCCCAGTCCCAACCTATTTCACGATACTAAGGTGTACCATAAAGACGAGGAATGCGTTCTAATTATACTTGAACCTTGAAAATGACTGTATTGCCCTTAGATGACCTTGGGTTCGGTTAAGGACCCAGATAACGATTCGGACCCTCGAGTTTGAGTCGTTACAGGTCAGCCCATATTTCTATGATAATTTTTGAAAACCTAGTTTTCGTGGACAGTTTTATAATCCCTAGTTCATAATGCCATCCGCAGTCGCCTCTCAATTTTTTCCAGAGCCACGTCAGTTTTTCCAAGAGCCACGTAAGAAACTTCTGCTCTCCAAATTTTGGCCTCACGGCCCTCACCGAAAAAAATAATGCAATATCCATTATCATGAATTAAAAACAATTACAAATAAAAAACTAAAATAGACAAAACAAGCCAAAAATTTAACAATAAAAACAACCCTATCTTTGATAATACACAAATACGTATAAAATGAAGGAAGCGAAGCTAAAAGGAATCAAACCCTGATACTGGCATTGTCGACTACAAGAACACCCATCATCGTCGACTGCAAGAACACGCATACCTACGGAAAATTTATTCTGATTTTCAACAAACTCAAAGGGGCAAAGAACTTGAATGAAAGGAGATTATTGGAAAAGTGTATTTAGAGAGAGATGAAGAAGAGGTAGAGAAAGAGTGTGTGTTTTAGAGAGAGAGATGCACACGCATACGTACGGGAGATCAGAGATGAGCACAGAACACAAAAACTTCCTCTGATTTCTTCTACAGTCTTCTCTTCTTTATAACAACAATTTGGAATACCTATATGAGAACAGAGCCCAAAAACAGATATCACAATTCACATAACAAATATATGGGTTCTCAACAATTGAAATTGAAGTATTCTCAACAAACTCAAAGGGCAAAGAACTTGAATGAAAGGAGATTCTTGGAAGATACCATAAAAAATTTCAAAAAATTTGGAGCTCTCTTAAATGAAGCTTAAAGTAGAGAATGAAGAATAAAGATGTGTTGGATATGGTTTGGATGATGATAGGAGTTATTTATAACGATGAATAATATTTTTTTTTTTCACATTTTTTTCAAAAGAAATAGTTGTTAGGGGGGGGGGGGGGGGGGGGGAACACTTTTTTTTAGGTAAAAAAAATTTAAATTATTTTTTATTTATTTTGTAAGTCAATATAGTCCTTAGGCACTATTTGGGTCAATCAAATAGTGCCTGAGGACTACATTATTTATTTATTAATTTTCTAAATAAAATAAATACCAAAAAAATGGAAAAAATAGCTTTTGGGGGCAACATGGTCCTTACTGTTTGGACCGTTGCCTCCTTTTTAAAAAAATAAAAATAAAAAATAGCCGTTGCGGCACCGTTTTGCAATTGTTTATTTTTTATTTTTATTATTATTATTTTTTAATTCTAGCATCAAAACGACATCATTTTGAATAAGAATTTTAAAAAAAATATTTAAGCGATCACGTGCCAGCTCGCCAGGCCAGGCCCGTGAGCACTAGTGGGCCCGCTTCCCTTAAGCGAGCCTGCTGTGGCCCAAAATTGAGCTAGCCAGGCTCGCTAGACCAGCCCTATAATAAGAGGGCTGGAGATGGCCTAATACAGCTAAAGGTTTGGTTAGGGAAAGCGTACACTACTCGTACCATATTTGCATATGTGTGGGCAGAAGCGATCTACCTTCATAACCACAAACTTCTTCCTGATAAAGATTACACCCATGTCCAGCCCAATATAATAGGATTTTAATATATTGTCCTTATCCAATCTTCACCAAATACTTGGCCTTGTTTTTTAATTGGGTTGAATAGAAGAAGGTATTGATAGGTATAAAAGAGGTGAGGGTGTAGATGTGTGATAGTGGGGAAGTGAAGTGTGGATACATGATGGTATGGATTGGATGTGTGAATAAGCAAGGGCATGGTGTGAGGTGCGGTTGCATTGACATTTTATGCATTGCATTGTATGTGATGGTGATGAGGCAATCTCTACTGAGCCGTTGTGCTCACTCCTCTACATTTGTCAGGGCTTGGGAAAGAAGTGGCGAATGACGGTTCACCACAATCTTAGTTCGGAGATTTGAAGTTCAGTTTTGCTAACTTTTGTATTTTGGAAACCCATTCTTTTGTAAAGTGTCACCATAAAAATGTATTTCTTTTGTAAAGCATGGTTGTACTGTAATTATGACACTTGATAATAATTTGATGTAAATTTGAGACTATGTAGATGTATGATGTTGAATGGGCCAATGGGGGAAATGAGGTTATATTTTAAGAAATTATAAATGCCTTCCAATTGTATGTTTTGCTTTGAATTCGGAATTAGGTTGCGTATCAGGTTTTGTGCGGGTTGGCTCATAACAAGCCTAGTCTTTTTAGTGTTATTTGCTGCAGATAGCAGCTTCTCAGGGCCTGTCGGCCGGTTGACAAGGACCATCAGCCGGCTGACAGTGCAATTTTTGGTATTCCACTAGGTCGAGTCAGAGTAAATTTTGTTTCGGCCGGCTAATAAGCACAGTCAGCCGACCAAACCCCCCTTGTCAGTCGACCGACGTTAGATGATCGGTCAGCCGACAGTCCTCTTTTCTAAAGTCCCGAGAGTATTCAACTTTGGGGATCGTTTCAGCCGACCGACCCTGTGGATCAGCCGGCTGATTACGCACTTTCAACCAGCTGACGAAGGGCCATCAGCTGATTGACCTTTCCATTAGCTGGCTAACCCTGCCCATTAACTTGTACCTTTGACTTCTCCTTCTAAGTTGTGTTTTAGAAAGACTCTGGATCCTTGAATGATCTGTGTATCCCCAGTGAGCGTAGGAAAGGATGAAATTGCCCTTAGTTGACCTCGGGTTCGGGTAAGGACCCGGTTAAACAGTTCGGGCCCACAGATTCGGGTCGTATAATAGAGGATGTAATCATGTGTGGCTGTGGTCACTGTTCGGTCGAGGTTGCGTTGGGTCACTAGCACAAGGTTACGAGTGACGTAGGATGTGAGATTCTTTGGATTAGGATTTTGAGGTATAGCATGTTACGTGGGGTACTCAAAGACGTACTCCGTTTTTGTATCCTTTCGTCTTTCTCTTGTGAGGTGGGTTGATTTCGGGGACGAAATCCTTTTAAGTTGGGGAGATTGTAATATATCTGTTTTTCACCATTTTCCTTTTTCCGAAATTTTCTGATTTTTAAAAAGGTATTTTTGTCTTTTCTCGTTTTGCGTGCCAGACACCGTCGGGTGTGTTAGGTGTGTCCAATAGTTGGTTGGGGCATTCCATTGAGTTCAAGACTCTTGGAAATGCATCAGTTGCCATTCTGACATTTTTTTATTTTTCAAGCCGGACGGTCCCGGATGGGACCCGCTACCGGAATTGTCGTGTACGGAGATTTTGTTTGGATCCATTTGCATCTCATTTATTTTATTTAATGTGATTTGTGTGGTTATAATGTAGATTGTTTGTATATATATATTTTGTGGTAGAAATAAGAAGTAAAAAGATATTATGAAGTGGTGGAATGTAATTAGTGTGGCCAAGAGGCCATTTTGGCCTCTCATTCGCTCTCCCCGGCTATCTCTCTCTCTCACCCTTTTTCCTTCCATTTTTCTTTTCCTTTTTATCAAGACTTCAACTTTGATTTCTCTCTCAATTTTGAGAAATTGTTGGTGCCGTTTGCGACAAATCGGAGAGCTCGGCGAGATCTACACGTTGATGTAAACAATTCCTTGTTTGGCAACCTTGCAATTTCGAATCTAGGGCTTGAGAATTGGGGTTTTTGCATCTAAGTGAGGTAGGGGTTCCTAATTCACATGTTCTTGTACTTTTGTGAATTATTTCTTCTTAAATTATTGCCTAGCATGCTTAATTTATATAAATTCTTGCAAAAGTTGCTTAGATGTTGTATGTGAAATGTGTAGTTGTGCGTTAATTGACGTCTTAAGATGAAACATGCTTTTATGAAATAGAAATTATGCTTATCAAGCTAGATTAATGTTGAATGAAGGCTTAAAATGTGTATTTTAGAAATTTAATTTGAAAGGCATGTGTGATATTGAATGTTGATTTGAAAGGGCATGAATTTCCTATTGACATGGCATTGAAATATATGAGACATCCATAGTATGGCATTGCATTTCATGGCACGGCATTGTTTATTTTCGATTTGAAGTTGTTGTATTTTCCCCGGCATAGCATGATCCCGTTGTCTTTATTTCTATTCATTGTATGGATCCACGGGGTCACAAGAGGTGTGTCTTAGGCACCACCTACTGAGCAATTTGCTCACCTCTTTATATTAACATTTTTCAGGTCACAGAAAGAAGGTGGCGGATGATAATCCACCACAAGCATAAAGGAATTAGAAGTGTATTTTGCAACCTTTGTATTGAGAGCCATTCATTTGTAGAACTTCATGGCAAGAATGTATTCAAGTTTGTTTAACAAGGCTTTGTAAAATAACTAAGTACTCTTGACTCTATTTTGATGTGAATGGGGCTATTGTAAAGATCTTGCATATTTCTCATTTGAATGGGGAAAGAAATGTTGCATTGTAATTATTCTTGATGTATATGACCATGGAACGTAGTATGTTACTTCTCAATGTGTTTGGGATAGATTTAGATCAGTTTCCAGGGTTCCATTCAAAGCTCTTCTTCATTTTTACACTTGTAGCAATCTAGTATCTGATTCTGAGCTCGAAGGGGCCGACCATTCCAATAGCCTCAGCTACTGTTTGGGTCACAACTGGCCGACCGAAATGGCTACTTCGGTCTACCGGTTCCGCGCGGGGGGGGGGGGGGGGGGGGGGGGGGGGTGTCGTTTCGGCCGACCGGTGCTCTATTCTGGTCGACCAAACTGTAGCAGCTGGTAACTTTTTTTGTTCCTTCCTTGATTCATTTAAACCCCAAGCCTTAGAGAGTTGTTTTAAAGCCTTTTTAAGCATAATTAAGACTTGAGAATGATGTGTTGACCCTAGACATGATGAGTTTGACTGAGCTGACCTCGGGTTCGGGTAAGGACAATCACAGAGCAGGTGGAGGAGTTTTTCTACCTGTTTCTTCATCAGCTGTTTTCCCACCATTGTGTCTGGCATTGTTTCATCTGGTTGTGGTACACTCTCCTGCAACAATTTGTGAAGTAAACAAGTTAAGATACGTCAACGAGTCCTACTAATCTTGTGAATTATGCTTTGAATCTAAGATGAAGTGATGTAGATTCAATCCACAGGATTAAGTCGAGTTGTGGTATTAAATTAATAAAATTTAGAACGATCTTGCAGTCTACAAGCAATCTAGTCCTGCATCTCTAGTGATTGTAAGATCCATGTAATCTTCAACCAATATTTTCTTAATTTTCACCTCATTCAAGGTGTGGTCATACTTAAACTTTTGTCATCAAGTGAATTTCATCATTAAATAACTGATTCTAAAAACTGTCTTTACATCAGTACAAAATATAGGGAAATATAGTGTTTAATGCACCGTCTGAATATCAGAAAACAAGGAAAAGTTGCAGAGAACATATCTATGAAAATTCTGAGGAGCAAAACAGCATTCCTGTTCTTGACTTGCCATACTTTTGAGCAACACAGCATTACGGTAAACTTATATTGTCAAACCACTCAGAATATCCAAATTCTGGCCTGAGAACTAATAAAATCACTCACAAAAACGACACTAGGTTGGTCAATCATTTCCCCCATAAGGGAGGACAACCTGTATTATTAGTTGTAAAGCAAAATTCGAAAAAATCTGCTGAAGGGTAAAGCGTCTTACCAGTAATCTGATAATCCTAGACTTGTAAATGTCTTAAGGTTCACAGCTTATACTCCCACTCTGGATTGAATATCCGTGCTCCACAGAGAAGCCCATTGCTTCATTCCTGCAACATGGGAAGAAAGAAATTAAGTCTTATGCAGGCAGAAAAATGTAAAATAAAATGTATAGTGACCTGAATCAAGTTTTGGAACCTTAATTCTTAGCCTTGATCACGAGTACCAATGAGAACAAATCTCCAGTAACTGCCTAAGATTCTTTCTCCTGACTCATCTTCATCAAACAAAATCTAGTATAGACTACTGATAATAATCCCTAAGCCTTGTCCAATTTTTTTGTGGCTGCTCACGCTTGATGGTTTTTGTAATCACCCTTTTGGCAGATTCCACCCTGTTTCTCTGTAAATTTGCAGAAACTTCATATGCTGAACAAACAAGTAAAAAATTTCTATCAAGTGAGGGAAAAAAAATCCCGCCTTAACGATCAATGTAAATTGTGATTAAGGTACGGATGATCAACAAGTTTTAATGGATTGCCTGTCAAATGGCAAGTACATAATGCTTGAAATTCTTCTATCGAAGTGACATCATATACTTTTGTTAACGCATAATGCCTCTAGGCACAGTCTATGGATCTAGTTTCATCACAATAGGCAAAGTTGCCATAACTTAATGCACATACCATGAAAACTCAAGTAAATATTGTTTTAGGTATAATAAGGCAAAAGTCGATGATTGTGGTGATCCTAAGGAGAAAGAAGTGATTAATATCTCTGAAAAGGCTGCTCCTCAAGTTGATTTACAGCCTTCTATTATTAAGAACAAGAATATCACAGGATTGTTGGCTACTTCTAGAGTGACTAGAAGTGAAGGGGGTGCTTCCCATCCCCCAAATTCTGAATGATTTGTTCTTGGAATGTGAGAGGCTTGAAAAAGCCTAAAAGGCAAAAAGAGGTGACGCAATGGATTAAATCAAATGAAGCTCATTTTGTCTATTACAAGAGACTAGGGTGAGAAGGCCTAAATTTGATTCTATTTCCAGAAAAATTAACAAATCTTGGAATTGGCTTCACAATTATAATTCTCATGACTTAGGCAAGTTATGGATAGGTTGGGATCCAATAATGTTTTCAGTTGCTGTGCTTTCAGAGATGGATCAAAGTATTCTTTTGCAAGTTCATATAATCCAGACTGGAGAGGTATTTTTTGTACTCCAGTGTATGCCTCTAATTATGTTACAGGTAGGAGAAGATTGTGGGATCATTTGATTATGCAAGCTACAATGGTTACTGGTCCTTGGTTTGTTGTTGGTGACTGGAATGCTACTAGATACCACTCTGATAAAAAGGGAGGGCGAACAGTTCCTCAAAGACTCCTTGATAATTTTAATGAAAGCCTTCAGAAAGCAGGTCTGGTGGAATTAACTGCTTCTAATGGAAAGTGGACTTGGTGTAATAGACAGAGAAAAGATAGAAGAATTCTAGCTAAAATTGATAGGGTTTTTACAAATGATGCTTGGCTTCAGCTTTTTACAGGTACAAAAATGTCTCACTTAGCTTCTACTTCTTCTGATCATTATGGGGTCATTATCAACATCTTTAGACAATTTGCTACTGGTCCTAAGCCATTCAAAATGTTAAAAATCTGGTGTTTGCAAGAGGGTATTGTGGAAGTGATTCAAAAAGCTTGGGATGATGAGGTTTCAGGGAATCCAATTCATATATTGGTCAAAAAGTTGAGAAATGTTAAGGCAGCTATAAAGTATTGGAACAAGACTACATTTGGAGATATTGCAAAGAAGGTTTTTCAATCAAAGCAGCATTTGGAAGATATTCAAGTGGACCTCTTAACTTCCCCTACAGATGTCTTATTTGATGAAGAGCAAAAAGCTAGAGACATCTATCACGATGCTTTGTCATCTCAGGAGATTCTATATGCGCAGAAGTCAAGGATTTTATGGTTAAAGGAGAATGATCGATGTTCTGGTTTCTTTTATCATAAGTTGAAACAGCATCAACAATTCAATGCTATTACATCTATTGAAACTGATACTGGACATGTCTCTACTGATCCATCTGTGGTTAGTAAAACTTTTGTGGATTATTATCAGGATATTTACCAAGGTGCAGAGGTTGATGGTCCATTTGATATTCAAACTAGGTATCTGTTATCAGCTGAAGATCAATTGGTTATGCCCCTATAACTAATGAGGAAATTAAAGCTGTTGTTATGAATTTCAAACCTGATAAGGCTCCAGGTCCAGATGGCTTTCCTGCTCTATTTTATCTTTTTGGTCTATTGTGCAGACTGAAGTGTGTGCAGCTGTTCACCACTTTTTTAATTCAGGAAATCTGCCTACAGGGGTGATTAGCTCCTTTCTTACTTTGATTCCCAAAGTAGGTAATGCTGCTAAGCCAAAAGACTATAGGCCTATAGCTCTTTGTAACTTAGTTTACAAAATCATTTCTAAGATTTTGGCTGTTAGACTTTCTCTGGTTTTGCCTAAATTAGTTGGATTGGAACAGAATGCCTTTATAAAAGGTAGAAAAAATCAGGATGCTATTATCATGGGGCATGAAATGGTCAGTGAATTCAAATATAAGCATCCTATTATGGCTCTGAAAGCTGATATCTCCAAAGCCTTTGATTCAGTTTCTTGGAGTTTTCTTTTAAAAACTTTGACAGCTGCTGGTTTTAGTTCCAATTGGATTAAATGGATCTCCAATCTTCTATCATCTACAAGATATTCTGTCCTCCTTAATGGCTCTCCTGCAGGATTTATTCAACCTACAAAGGGGCTGCATCAAGGATGTCCTCTTTCCCCCATTCTTTTCACTATGGTGACTGATCAACTCACTCAATTCATTAACTCTGAAGTTGATAATGGGAGGATTAAATTATTTCATACGGCTTTGAAGGCTGGTTCTACTACATGTCACATTTTCTTTGAAGATGACCTATTGATCACATGTAAAGCTTCCATATCAAATTCTAGATCCTTGCAAGGTTTGCTTAATATCTTTGGTGAGGCCTCTGGCTTGAAGATTAATTATCAAAAGACAAGTGTTATTTTTTCTACGGCTGTTAGAAGAAGAAGAAATATAATTGATTTGCTGTAATGCAAAGAAGAGTTGCTTCCTTTCAAATATTTAGGCATACCTTTGTGTTCCACAGGTCTAAAGAAAGCTCATTGCAATGTGCTTATCGACAAAATTTCAAAAAAGCTCACTGTTTGGAGTAACAATTTACTGTCAGTTGCAGGGAAGGCCGAGTCAATTAAGACTGTTATTACTCCAATTTGTTTATATTGGTGTAGTGTTTTTCCCTTGCCAGTTGTTGTTCTAAATCACATTCAAAAGTTGTGTAGAGACTTTCTGTGGGGCAGCAGAGAGAATATGAAGAAATTGCATCTTATGAGTTGGGATTTAATGTGTCTGTTGAAAAAGAGATATTCGGTTTTAATAATACCAGATTTTAGGGGATATGATAGGCGTGTAAATATAGATAGTCAATGACTAAGATTAGGAAATTCTATTAGTGTACAGCCTGTAGCTTCTATTAGTGTACAGCCTGTAGCTTCTGTTAGTGTACAGCCTGTAGTTTGCTGTTACAGCCTGTAGGCAGCCTGTAGTTTCCTTTTTTTAGCCCCTTGTATTTCCTATTTAACTAAAGCATTGTAAACCATTCAAAGTACGGCAATATACAGATTCTTTTCAATCTTGAAATCGCCTATTTGGTATCAGAGCATCTTACCGATTCTTTTGAAAAAAAACCCCTAGCCGTCTCTTTTTTTTTTTTTTTTTCTCTTCCAAACAACCCTAATCACCATGTTTAATGACATACCTAAGTCCAAGACCAAGACCTTTGAGTCCCAAGTCCAAAACTCTCAAACACACTCGGTCCAGATTACCACAATTCGGCCAGATTACCACAATTCGGCTAAACGGTGAAAACTTCCTTCGCTGATCCCAGTCCGTGCGGATGTACATCCGAGGCAGAGGCAAAATCGGCTACCTAACATGAGAAAAGAAGGAACCAAAACCTGAAGATCCATCCTACTCGACCTGGGATGCAGAGAATTCGATGGTAATGACCTAGTTGGTGAATTCTATGGAGGAGGACATCAGTTCTAATTATATGTGTTACCACACAGCAAAAGAACTCTGGGACAATGTCAACCAGATGTATTCAGACCTGGGAAATCAGTCTCAAGTCTATGAACTAACGCTGAAACTCAGAGAGATCCGTCAAGGAGATAATAGTGTTACAAAATATTTCAACTCTCTGAAACGTTTGTGGCAGGACCTTGATTTATTCAGCGATTATGAGTGGAAATCGCCTGAACATTGCAACCATTACAAAAAGAAGGTGGAAGACAACCGCATCTTCAAGTTTCTCATTGGACTCAATGTCGAGTTTGATGAAGTGAGAGGCAGAATAATTGGATGACAACCCTTGCCTTTAATCGGTGAAGTCTTCTCCGAGGTTCGAAGAGAGGAAAGTCGCAGGCTGGTCATGCTTGGAAAAAAGTTATCAAATGGTGTTGTTGAGACCTCTGCCCTGGTTGCATCTGAAGCAAATATTGGCAGGAAACATAATGAAAAGCCCCGTCTTTGGTGTGACCACTACAACAAGCCTCACCATACTCGTGAAACCTGCTGGAAAATTCATGGTAAACTAGCGAATTGGAAGAGTAAGCAGGAAGGCAGATTCAACCGAGCCCCATCAGCTCATGAAGCTGAGGCACTTCCCTTCAGCAAAGAATAGATGGATCATCTTCTAAAATTGCTGAAATTCAGTTCCTCATCTGGTACTCCTAATGCTTCTCCTACTCAAACAGGTAACAACCCGAAGGCCTTATCTTGTCGTTCAAATTCTAGTGTTACCCCATGGATCATTGATTCAGGGGCTTCTGACCATATGACAAGTTTTTTCCATTTATTTCAAACTTATTCACCCTGTTCTAGCTCTGAAAAAATCAGAATAGCCGATGGTTCTTATTCTTCTATTGCAGGCAAAGGTTTGGTAAAACTTTCAAAAATTATTGATCTTAAGTCTAAATTCATGTCCCTAAGCTTGCTTGTAACCTTTTACCAGTTAGTAAATTGTCCAAAGACTCTAATTGTCGTGTTATCTTTTTTGAATCCTATTGTGAATTTCAGGACTAGAGCTTGGGGAAGACGATTGGCAGTGCTAAGATGATAGATGGTCTCTAATATTTTGAAGATGATATTTCAAGTAATAAAAAGGCTCAAGGTTTGAGTAGTTTTCGTTCTATCCCTGTTAGAGAACAAATAATGCTATGGCATTTTAGACTAGGGCATCCTAGTTTCCCTTATCTTAAAAAATTATTTCCTTCTTTGTTTAAAGGATTGGATTGTTCATCTTTTTATTATGTGAATTGTTTTTTTATCAAAGAGTCATCGTACTACGTATTCTCCCAAACCTTACCAAACATCAAAACCATTTTATTTAATCCATAGTGATGTTTGGGGCCCTTCTAGGATCACAACTCTTTCTGGAAAAAAATGATTTGTGACTTTTATTGATGATCATACACGTTTGTGTTGGGTGTATTTAATGAATGCAAAATCTAAAGTTGAAAAATTATTCAAGGATTTTTATATGATGATTGAAAATCAATTTCAAACAAAAATTCGCATTCTTCATACTGATAACGGCACCGAATACTTTAATGAAGTTTTAGGAAGTTTTTTAACAGAAAAAGGAATTTTTCACCAATCCACTTGTGTTGACACGCCCCAACAAAACGGAATTGCTGAAAGAAAGAATAAACATTTACTTGAAGTTTCTCGTGCCATTATGTTTTCAATGAATGTTCCTAAGTATTTGTGGGGTGAAGCCGTTTTAACAGCAACATATTTGATTAACAGGATGCCTACTCGTGTTCTTAACTATTTTACACGCCTTGAAAGCCTTAAAATATCTTTTCCTGAAACTCGGATTTATTCCAACCTGCCTTTGAAAGTATTTGGGTGCACTGTCTTTGTCCATTTACCTAGTAGACTTCGGTCTAAATTGGATCCTCGGGCTGAAAAATGTGTATTTGTTGGGTATGCCCAGAATAAAAAGAGGTACAAATGCTTCAATCCGAAAACAAAAAAAATATTTATTAGTATGGATGTCTTTTCTCTAGAAAATCATCCTTATTTTCAAAAAACTTTTCTTCAGGGGGAGAAAGAGAGTGAGGAAAATTTTTGGGAGATTTCTACTAATATTCCCTTACCTAAAACTATTGTCTCACACTCTATTACTCCAAACACTGATCTTTTTAAACAGGGAAATGATGTTCTAGAATCTGGAAACCCGGGGCCTCCTAGTCCGAATCTGTCGAGCCTTACTGTATCTCCAATAGGGGGAGAAATCCTACCAACGGTTCCAAAACAACCGAATCCTGAGCTTCTGGTTTATAACAGGAAAAAGACACATCAAAAAAGTAGAGAGCCTACTATTGTACCTGAGCAAGGCCAATCAAAGGTCCCGAGCAATGACTCCCTGAACACTCAAGGTACTCTAAATCCTAACTTGTCTACAGTTGTCTCTACTATTTCTGATCGTACAGAGTCACCTAGCCAAGTTCCTGTAGACCTTGATATCCCTATAGCTGTTAGAAAAGGAATCCGAACCTGTACCCAGCATCCCATTGCCAAATACTTGTCTTATGATAAACTTTCCCATAAACATAGGACCTTTACTTCAAACATTTCTCACTTGTTTGTTCCAAGAAACACTCAGGAAGCACTAGATGATCTGAATTGGAAATTAGCAGTGTTAGAGGAGATGAATGCTCTTAAAAGGAGTGGAACGTGGGAGATAGTTGACTTGCCCAAAGGAAAGAAAACTGTTGGGTGTAAATGGGTTTTCACTATTAAGTGTAAAGCTGATGGTAGTGTGGAAAGGTGCAAGGCAAGACTTGTGGCGAAAGGTTTTACGCAAACGTACGACATTAATTACCAAGAGACGTTTGCTCCTGTAGCAAAAATAAATTCTATCCGAGTTTTATTGTCGTTGGCAATCAATTCTAACTGGCCATTACATCAATTGGACATAAAAAATGCCTTTTTAACTGGAGACTTGGAAGAAGAAGTGTTTACTGGGTTTATGAGCTTGCCACCTGGGTTCGAAGGAAAACACGGTCAGAGCAAAGTCTGTAAACTCAAAAATCCTTGTATGTTTTGAAACAGTCTCCAAGAGCGTGGTTTGAACGCTTTGGAAAGGCTGTGAAGAGTCATGGGTATCATCAAAGTCAGGCAGACTATACCATGTTCTACAAACATGGTGAGGAAGGGAAAATTGCCGTTTTAATTGTGTATGTGGATGATATAATTTTGACAGGTGATGACATTAAAGAGTTGACCAGACTGAAGAAGAAACTTCCTAAAGATTTTGAAGTCAAAGATCTGGGAGCATTAAATACTTCCTTGGAATGGAATTTGCTAGGTCAAGAGAAGGAATTTTCGTGAATCAACGAAAATATGTACTTGATTTGCTTAATGAGACAGTACTACTCGGGTGTAAAGCTGCTGACACTCCAATTGAAGTCAACCTGAAGTTAGAAGCTGCTGAACCCGAGAATATGGTTGATTGTGAAAGATATCAGAGATTGGTGGGAAGACTAATTTACTTATCTCACACACGCCCAGATATAGCATTTGCAGTCAGTATGGTGAGTCAGTTCATGCACTCTCCTGGACAGGAACACTTCGAAGCAGTGTACAGGATTCTAAGGTACTTAAAGGGCTCACTAGGTAAAGGACTTATGTTCAAGAAACAAGGTCATTTACAAGTGGAGGTGTACACAGATGCTGATTGGGCAGGCAGTATAGTTGATAGAGGATCTACCTCAGGATATTGCACCTTCGTTGGAGGAAACTTAGTCATGTGGCGAAGCAAGAAACAAAATGTAGTAGCGAGGAGTAGTGCAGAAGCCGAGTTCAGACCACTTGCCCATGGGATTTGCGAAGCTATATGGTTAAAAAGACTCCTTGAAGATTTGAAGGTTACTGTTTCTCCTCCAATGAGAGTCTACTGTGACAACAAGGCTGCCATTTCAATTGCTCATAATCCAGTCCTCCACGACAGAACCAAACATGTGGAAGTTGACAAACACTTTATCAAGGAAAAGCTTGACTGTGGTATGATTTGCATTCCTTATGTCTCTACTACTGAACAAGCTGCAGACATCCTTACCAAAGGACTACACAAGAGACAGTTTGAAGTTTTAAAAAGTAAGCTAGCTATAGAAGACATGTACAAGCCAGCTTGAGGGGGAGTGTTGAAAAAGAGATATTCGGTTTTAATAATACCAGATTTTAGGGGATATAATAGGCGTGTAAATATAGATAGTCAATGAGTAAGATTAGGAAATTTTGTTAGTGTACAGCCTGTAGCTTCTATTAGTGTACAGCCTATAGCTTCTGTTAGTGTACAGCCTATAGCTTCTGTTAGTGTACAACCTGTAGTTACAGCCTGTAGTTTGCTGTTACAACCTGTAGTCAGCCTGTAGTTTCCTTTTTTTGGCCCCTTGTATTTCCTATTTAACTAAAGCATTGTAAACCATTCAAAGTACGGCAATATACAGATTCTTTTCAATCTTGAAATCGCCTATTGTGTCGACCTAAAAAGGAAGGTAGGCTGGGTATCAGAAAATTGCTTGATTTACAACATACTTCCTAGTGCGTTTTGGCTTGGAATTATTTGCAAAACTCAGACAGAATTTGGGTTCCATGGTTTAAGAACAGGTACTCCTCTACTTCTACTTATTGGAATGCAGTTCCAAAGTTTTCTCATTCAATTCTTTGGAAGAATTTGATTAATTCCAGGGATCTTATGCATCTCAATATTAGTTTTTCTATTGGTACTGGGCATAGTTTTAAGATTTTGATAGACCCTTGGTGTGAAGGCCAAACATTGATTCAGAAATTTGGTCATAGAATTGTTAGAAGGCTGGGGTTTACTTGGGATACTCCTTTGTCTAATCTTTTGGACAATGGTGAATGGAATTTGGAGCTTTTACAAGACATTATGTTTCGGCCAATTAAGGATTATGCACAGACTTTGATTATTCATGCTAGAGCAGATCGTCTTATGTGGGATGGAGGTCCTTTTACTTTCAAATCAGCTTGGGAAAGTTGCAGACTAACTCATCCAGATGTGGATTGGTTTAAATTTTGTTGGGGAAAATCTCGACCTAGATGGTCTGTGTTTGGTGTTTTTCTGTTTCAAGATAGGCTTCGTACAATGGTAAATCTTCAGAGCAGGAAGGTGCAGTTAGCTTCAAGGTGTTCTTTATGTTTACAGGAGTGTGATACCAGAGACCATCTTTTTGTTGAGTGTTTTTATGCAATTAGTTTCTGGAAATGGATTGTGGATATTATGGGCTGGAAATTTGATATTTCTTTATTTTTCACATTCGAAGACTTGCTCTACTGGTTCTCTCAACAGACCAATAAGATGATTTATTCAATTTTTGTGGCTGCATTGTGGAGCATTTGGCAAGAAAGAAACGGCAGGTTGCATGGTCATTTATTTAGACTTCCTCAAGATGCTGCTAGACAAATCTTATTTGAAGTTCTTGATATCTACAATGTTGATTTGCTTTGATTTGAATTTTTTCATTTTAAGAATTGTTCTTTCAATTCTTTTCTGAGGGTATGCCCTCTGTGCGCCTGTAATTATTCTTTTTCCTTTTTTATACAAACACAAATTATGAAAAATATATATATATATTGTTTTAGGTCATTTAGGCCCTACCTTGAATCAATTATCCTTGCACAATTTTTTCCAGCAACCAAGAGAATGACAGTTCATTTTTCATTGTGTTTAATGGAATTTTTTCTTAAATTATTAAGTTGCCATGGTAGGAAAAATGTAAAAAGTTCACAACCTGGTTCATAAAAGTTAAAAAATAAAAAATAAAAAATAAAATAAAAAAGGGAGAGGAAGAGAGAGAGAAGAAAAGGAAAAAGCTAATAAGATTTCTCACCTTTGATATTAAACAAGCACGAACAGGAAGAAGTAGACAGTTAAAAGTAATCCAATTATGTGCTCCTCAAGCTGCCTGAAAACACATGCAGAAATTGAACATTTGACATTTCCTAAGAAGGTGAGAAAAAAAAAAGAAAAAAAAAATGATAACACTAAAGAAAATTTCGAAAGAATCGTCTCCTTTCTATATGTCATTCACGGAAATTCACAAGCTAAAAACATATATATCATATAAAAATAAAGGAAAGTGAGGATTAACAACATATTTCTAGTCAAAAATAAAATCTAAAAAGAAAATACAAGAGAGGACAATTACCAGCTGGGGTAATTTCAATTCCAAGAACAAAATGAGCTATCTTCTTTGTTTCAAGCAATGATTCATCCACCAAGTCCTGTGAACCTGTTCCATTTAAAAAAAAAATTAAATAAATAATCAATTGCAGTTAAATAAATAGAGAGGCAATGAACAAGTAGATAGAAGAATAAGACTGAGTTTTATGGTAATCAAAAACTTCAGACCAAAGAGGATTTACCTTGCATGTCAATGTAATCGTGATATATAAATATTTGGGATATGAACAATTTTTGGCCAATCTTCCCCTGTTTCTTTGTGGCATCTATCATTTAACACGTCAGTACAATATGTAATTTTGAGTTCTTGGAGTGTAGTGAGCCAACGCATCCCTTCGGGCAGTGATGTCAATTTGGGGCAGTAAAAAATGTGAAACTTTTCAGGTGATGTGAGGTTGCCTATCCACTCTGGTAGTGTAACTAGATTGTAAATTCTCCCAAGACTCAGACATTTTAATTTGGGAAGATGAAGAAGCAAAGAAGATGAAGAGGACAACGACATCGTCATCATTAGAAGTTGTTGTACTAGCTTCTTGCTGACGCGATCTAGATGTAGTACTTCAAGACATGGTTGCAGAATTGGGATTGATGCCAGATTAGGGCAATTAGTAATGGATAATGTGGAAAGAGTAGGAAATGATGGGAGCTAATGAGGCAGTGACTTCAAATGTTGTTGGTCTGGTAAGCTTGCAATAGTACTTGTTCTTGTTGCTTCTTCTTCTGCATCGCTCCTCCACCATCCCTTCAGATTAGGCAAGTCCCAGAGTGTGCGTGTCTTCAGCAATGGGAAGAATGTTGGTGTTAGTGTTGGTTCTCTTTTTCTTGCTGCTGCTGCTTCTCCACTCAATAAAGAGAGGGTCTCCACACCACAGCCAGTATTGTTGTCTATGTACTCCATAGAATCCATATCATAAAGCTTAAGATATTGGAGAGAAGGAAGTTGCCCAAACAGTGGAAGATGTTTGCATCTATGCCAGTTCTCTATATCAATATTGACTACATTTGGGATGAATAAATGAATGTCAACCATCATCCAACTTGGGGAACTCACTCCCTGATAATAATATATTTTCAGCTCCTTCAGATTCGGGTGTGGACGTAGGGTTTCCAACAATACCTGATTATCTTCATCCTTATAAAAATATACTTCCAGGATCTTAAGGTATTCTTTTTCCTCCAAGTAGTTTGTTCCATCCATTCTTTCCTCTGCTGTTGTTGCATTTTTTGAACACTGTCGGCTACTTAAGTCCCCAAGTCCAAGTATTCTAATACTTAATCTTCCACGTAGATTGTTTAGGCTTTGCAATTCATTCAACCGACTGCCATTTGAGTCGGTTACAAATCTAGTTAATGTCAAAAGAGAGGTCAACTGGCCCAATCCACACGGCACACCACTCAAATAATGACAGTAGTGAAGCTCAAGATGCCTAAGGCTGACCAATTTTCTTATATCTCTTGGCAATTCTACAAGCCTGTAACAATGATTGAGTTTTAGAGTCTGCAGACTTTGCAACTTGGTTATAGAATTTGGGAGAGTCGAGATATCACTGTCACTGAGATCAAGATACCTTAAATGTTTCAGTTTGCTTATGTAACTTGGCACGGTCTGGATCTTCAACTTGTGGACAACCATCACACGTAACTTTTTAAAACTTAAAACATTTCTTTCAAAAACTGATTCATCTAAAACTTGATCCTTCTTCCAAATAAATGTTCATCACTTGTTAGCTTGGACCAAGTGGGTTGAAATTTCCCGTGATGAATCACAAACACCAAATGACACATGACGAGTTGTTGCTGTAACATTTTCTGCTTTCCTCAAAGTGGAGTTCTCAAGCCTTGCCACCAATTGTGCAAGGTCATGGACTAGATCATGCATTTTGCAACTTATTATATCGCCCCATTCATCTCTTTCAACATCTTGAAAAAGGGACCTTCTTAGTAAATCCATAAAATACAAATCTCCCACATCTTACAAGTGTTGATTTTCATACAATGATTGAATGAGTCCCTCTGCAATCCACAATTGGATTAATGATTGCTTATCAATCTTTTCATCTTTCACATATAAGGAACAAAATGCAAAGCATTTCTTCAGATTTGAAGGAAGATGATCATAACTTAACTTTAATATTGGCAAAATAACATCTTCTACTTGAGCTATTTTTGCCAAATCATTACTTTCGAAAAGCAACCATTCAACATCTGTATCTTTAGAGTATAGTAGGCTTCCTATAGCCCTTATGGCAAGAGGAACTCCCTTACACTTCTGTGCAATCGCTTTCCCAATTGTTAATCGACATGTATTCTCTGACTCTTCCCCATGTTTGAATGCCATTTGCTTAAACAAAGACCACGACTCCTCCTTAGACAAGCCTTTAAAAAGACATGGTGAATTTGCACCCATAACATTTGCAACTAATTCACTACGGGTTGTTACTAATATCTTACTTCCCCTAGAACCACCCATCAACAAAACTCTCAGTTCTAGCCATCTCTCACGATCCTCATTCCACACATCGTCCAACACAAGCAAATATTTCTTTCCAATAATTTCTCTCTTAAGCTTTTCTTGCAACTTATCCATGGAAAGGTTTTCAGGCTTATCGTCTGTTGCAGACTCTATGGTCTTTTCTACAATGAGTTTCACATCAAAAACATCAAATTTACACACCAACATCTTAAGTTCAAAATGTTTAGTGACACCCTCATCATTGTATGCTAATTGTGCAAGTGTGGTCTTTCCTAGTCCCCCAATTCCAACTAATGCAACAACGGACACATTCTCTTGAACGTTACCGTCCAATAAAAGTTCTATAATGGATGTTTTATCAGCATCCTCCCAATAACACTTTCTGCATGAACAGAAGAGTGAGTCTCCTCCCTTTTACCATTCTCAACTCGCATCTCTAAAGGTTGCTCAGTTAGGTGAAATTTTTTCCTATCTTCTGCAATTTCATCTAGTCTCTCCTTAATGGCTTTAATCTCATGAGCCATCTTAAGGCTAAAAGCAAGCTGGTTAGAGCTTGAGAAGAAAACGCCTACCTTCTTTAGCCCTTTATTCTGAGTCTTAACCTGACGCCGAAGAACTTGGGTGGAAAAGTCATCAAACAAGTCATCAGCATCATGAAGTGCATCATTGAGCTTTTCCAACCAGTCTGCAATCTCATGGTTTGTGGATTGCTGCTCCTCTGCATCAACAATGACTGCTCTGATTGTAGAAACCGTGTTTTTGAGTCTGCGAAGCTCATCCTTTACCACCCACACCAGGGCGATCTCTTGGAGAACTGTCGAGCCCAACTTCTTCAGAATTTCAGTCACAGTGTTGTGGAGAATTGTTTCAGCCATTTCTTCTTGATGAGATAGATGGTTTACAGATTGTTTGTGGAGCTATTGAACAAGGATAGTCAATAGTACAATTCACAAGGAGAGAATTGCCCAGCAAAACACCATGTGCATCTCTCTAAACAATTCTCAAAAAGAAAATTGGCCAGCAAAACACCATGTGCACCTCTCCAAATTAGGCGTAAACTCCGCCATTGAATTGATGATGATATTAATTTAATACTCGAAACTAATTAGGCGAGTGATTGACTATAATATTCATGATCTAGTTGTTTATTCATCTAAACACAATACATTGTTTTTGTGTCTCAAATTTCAACTCATATAAATAATGCTATACAATCAAATGTAGAATTATATATATATATATATATATATATATATATATATCAGTTCAATGTAATCTGAAACAAATACACAGAAACGTGTACTCATGAATAAATATATGTGTGTGTGCGTTGTGTGTGTGTGTGTGAAAATTCAAGATTGTACTTTGAAATGGAAGAGAGGGGTTTTGAATGGGGGATTAGGGTTTTGGGTTTTGGGTTTTGTTGGATACCATTTTGGAGGCAGAGAAGAGGCAACGATCGCTGAGCTGACGGAATACAGTTCGAAGCTCATTCCTGCAACTCTCCCTCGCGCCCATCCAACTCTCTCTCAACCGCAGTTAGTACTACTCCGTAAGACAGATGATTTATCTTTCGAAAAAAAAAAAAAGACACAGATGATTTGCGTGGTAAATTGCTGAAAAAATAAAATAAAAAATACTGTAGTAGAATTGGGCATTGGGTAACTTTTTGAAATACAAGGGGGTTAGTTTATCAATCAATTTTTTTGTAAGTGAAAAAGTTTTCCTAAGAACATTATGGAAGTTCTTTTCAGGACGAAATTAAAAATATATATATATATTTTTTTATTTTTTATCATTAGCATATTTAGTTCTTGAATGACAATAGAAAGATAAATTCATTAATATGGACACTAGAAAGACCATAAATTTGCTTATCTTTTACAAATATGAATCTGATATTTTTAATTATTCATATGCCATAATCTAGTCACCCCACTTATTCTTTAGAAAAGATTTTTTTTTTTTTTTTAAGTAAAATATATATATTTAATTTTTGATAAAAATGTAGTTCGAATTTATTTTGTGGGGTTAATGAGTTAATTATAGTTATTTGTTAGATTTTTTTAGTTTACAACAACCAAACACTAAAAACATAAATTTTTAAAAAAAATTATATCCAAACAAACAGATCCTATGTTAACAAAACGGTAATTAGAGTGTATCTTCAAAAACACACTCTCGAATTATGCAAGCATACACTGAAATGCTTGAAATTTTTTGAAGGATATGCATAAAATAAGATCAGGCATCTCCACCATAGTTCAAAAAGATTTCAATTCATGTCGGAAACGTGTCCATAGGTATACAACAAGTGTCAGACTGTTGGCTTGAAGCAGACATTTGGCAACATATTTTTTAAGATTAGACTTGAGTACACAGCTATGAGAATGATTTAAAATGATCCCTATCATGTTGTTCCAAGCAAACATAACCGTCCCAAGCATGCGACCAGGGACGAACCCAAGGGCCCATGTGAGGACCAGTGGGGAATTTTAAAATTTTTTATTTTTACCTAGAAAATTTGGGGTAAATATATAAATGCCCCATAACTTTATCCTTTTACCCCACTGATTTTTTTCTTCTCTCACTCGTGCCCTCATTATTGTTTAAAATCACACCCACTAAAAGAAATTTCTAGGTCGTCGCTGCATGAGACTAAACATTTTTCTCCTGAACATGCCTACAAATGGTGACAGTCTAGTAAATAGAACACGAAGTGAATAAGCACCAAATTATTAGTGACAAGAAATATGAAGGTATTTTAAGAATGATCATTGGTAGTAACACAGTCCAGAGTTGATTGCTTCATTATAAATGAAGAAACAAGGAACTGGCAGTAAAAAGTACCAAGACAAACCAATGAGATTTTTTCTTGGTAATTGATGTTAATATATTCATGGATAAATATTGTTCATAGCATAACTACAAAGATTCAAGGCACAAAAAGAAAAAAAAAAAAAAATATATATATATATATATATATATATATATATATATATATATCCGATTCGTTGAAATCCTAGTGAATCGTCACAACACAAGTTTGACTTTGATCGTTTTAAATTTTTGAATAGGAACCTTTTAGGCAGAGCATGCCCTTTCTTGGTCACCAAGACCAAAAATATTATTGTTAAGGACTTGTGTGAAAACATTAGTAAAATATGTCCAGTGAAGATTTAGAATTGCCTCGATATCAAAGCAAGTATACACAATTATTCTTTTGTATTCTTTCACCTTGTTGAATTTTTTTCATATTTTTTCATAATAATATTTAATTTGTTGATATTTTAAAAGTTATTATAAAAAGTGATTCCTATAAATCAATGATATCGAGTGTCATTATGTCAACATGTGCTAGTGTTGGAGTTGCTCTACACAATTAACTGGATTTGATACCAATTGTTGTAGCGGAAACGCAAAATAAGCAACTCTGTTCAAGGAATAAATAAGTAATCACGAAAAAAAAAACAAAAAAACAAAAAAAATCACACATAAGAACACAAGATATATATGGTTCACCCAAATCTTAGAACTACGTTCATGGAGCACACCGAACAAATTCACTATGAAGAAGATGAAGAATTACAATGGAGAATTTTCTCTCAATCTCTCTCAATTGCTCTCTCTTGTATTGGTCAATCACACAACAGGTAAGATGATCTTCTCTTTTTTCTTCTCTCTATTTTTACCACACTCTAAGATCTAATTATAGTTGATATATATAGCCCCAAATAATTTTTCCTACAAGAACTTGGCTTTTATAGAGTCCAAAACCAATTAGGAATCAAAAATAGATCAGGAAACTGAATTTTCAATATAATTAAATCTTCCTAAAAATTAGTCAGACTCCACAAAGCCACAATAATCTCCCACTTGGAGACTGGAGCACTTATAAACTCATTCCATCTTCTTCTCATCCATGTCCCATGTATGTCGGTGCGTTTCTCTCTGTCTTCAAGCTATAAAACCAATTGAAGCTGTGCACAGCTTCAGTTTCTCCATGGTCACTGTCTTGGTCAACATGTCAACCGGATTCTTGGTGCTAAGTATTTGCTCAAGTGTCAACACCCCATCTTCTAACAAAGATCTGATGAAGTGATACCGACATCATATATGCTTGGTCCTTGAATGAAATGCTAAATTCTTTGCCAGATGTATCGCACTTTTGTGACGGCCCGAATTTCAAAGAACCAGGTGTGTTAGCGAGTAACTCGAAAACTGACCCGATAACGAATCCTAGATGCGGAAGCAATGAAAAAGAAGAAGTCTTTAGAGATGAATACCACCTCTAAGATGCCAAAGTGACTTCCCGAGAAGTCACGAGACTCAAAAGGAAACAAATGCGGAAGTTGGGGTTTAAAACGGTCAAAGACGCCACTAGGGGTAAAATTATCATTTCAAATAGAAATGGATGCAACCGTGCATACCATTGGATACACAATGAAAAATTAATAAACTTTGACTCAAAAATCACTTGATTTGGAGTTAAAACGAAGAAGATATGAATTTCTGAAGTTTTACAAAAAAAGTTGCCAAAATGTGCTTAGTACGATCAATTTGGCTCCGAGCAGTTTTTTTTTCCAAAAACACGTGATTTTCAAGGCTAAAACGGGACTTTTTGGAAAAAAATTGTGAATAAACCCTTCCCCCCCCCCCCCCCCCCCTAAAAATGAGTCTTCTGATCAACTATGGTCCAAACCAAAAATAAAAAGTAACGTAAAATGACCAAAATGCCCCCGAGTGCAGGGTATGTCAAGAAGAAAAAACATTTGGCTGCGAGTAGTAATTTTTCGAAAACACTTGATTTTCAGGGCTAAAATGAGACTTTTTGAAAAAAGTTTGTGAAGAAACCCTCCCCTAAAAATGAGTCTTCTGATCAACTATGGTCCAAACCAAAAATGAAAAATAATGTAAAATAACCTAAATGCCCCCGAGTGTAAGGTATGTCAAGAAGATAAAAGCATATTGAAAAATGACATCCTTTACATACATAGAAAGTTCTTCGCCCTTGGCCTCAATACATACAAATTAAAGTAGCATCAAAATATAGTACTTAAATTCATATTACACATCCAAAGGGAAGCAAGGCATGTTTCTAAACAAGTTATAGATTAACTACTTCAAAAGAGCTATATCATGCCAACATTTGCATGTCAAAAATATACAAAAGGTATTCAAATGAAACTCAAGCCAAGCTAGGGATGATGAACATCCAAGAAGAGTGTCTCCTTGCCTGAAAAACAATGATCAACTAGGGTAAGTAATTTGAATTACTCCGTAGGAGGATGTATATGCGTATAACCTAAAGTTTTAAAAGTCTTAAAAGTGTAATATAAACAAACACATGTGGATCATGCTTCCAAATGTCTAGTTTCAAGGTGAAGCTAGGGGATCATCCTAAAACTAACTTTGAAGCATTTTAACTATAATCCACAACATAGGAGTATGCTAAACCAATTAAGAATATCAAGTACCAAACCACGAGTTACAATTATAAATTGGTTGTCAACTGAAATTAAATTATGAAATCACATAATAGAATACTTTGTAAAAGCAACTACCACAAGGCTAGTAGGATAACAAAGTTCATACCACTCCAAGAACTATAACTCAACCCACAGACATAGACTCCACTATGATGCAACTCACGAATGCGACTCCATGATGCAATGTGATGATTATCCATGCCAGAATCAATTAAAATCCCGTATATGAAACGATTGGTGTAGCAACACACCCTACTGACCAAGTGTTCTTAGGGACCTTCCACCCTACTGACTCGATGTCCACTGTTTCAATGTTCGGATAATGCCTATCCTTCAACCTTGTTATGCATGTCGTACACACACAACTTATAACCTCATGAACTTTCTGAACAAAATGATGACCACCATACTCCTAAGGCCAAGGTAGCACATATACACACAATGATTCACTTACAAAGACTATATATCAATAAGTTTACATTACTAAAACAATGTGAACTACTTAATAGTCAATCAAACTACAATGGCATTTGAAATATCAAGTTCTCAATGTAAATACAACTACACTACTATAAGGTTGTCAACATAGGTAATATATTCATGCTATCAAAACAAGCTTAAATCCCTAATTTTAGACAACAACATAGCTTAATTTCATACATAATTAATGACTGGAATAATTCTAGAATATTATAGTTACAACAACAAAATAATACTAGAATTTAATTCTCTACTAAATGAAACAACAACTATACAACAGATTAATCATATACAAGTCTTGCACAAAATGAAACTCTAGGTTAGATACATACAAGATTCATCTATATGCAACCCTAGAATTTAAATAACATGCATACAGTGTATATTAACCTCAAATAACATATTAAAACACTAAAGATATAAACATAGGACACCCCTACCTCACT